ATTCACAAATTAGGTACGGAATATTACCCGTAAAACTTTAAAATAAGCTAAGCAGATTATCGGATTTAATTGAAATTTTTTTTTTTGCTTATTGGTTGTTATATTTTCAGTATTCCATATTAGGGATACTATTCCATATTGCTTACTTTCCTCAATCAATATACTTTTAGTTGTTTCGGTAGTGCTATTCTGTAACAAACGTCGAGTTCGAGACGAGACAGTTCTTAACAGAATGTATACGTAATAATCGCAACTCAATAACGTCCATTTTGTATTACCTGAAGTCCAATATGGTTATATTGCCGAACTGAATTTTCCGGTTCTATGGTGATTGATGCATTACACCCTGTATATAGCCGTGGAAGTCATAGCATCGCTCGCCTAGGTAGTCATTATGCGGTTAGTTCTAGGAAGGGCATCAATTCTACATTGCGTCTGGTATTACCTGAATCGTGCTTTCCGTAATTACCCCATGAATATCGAGCGAGCGAAACCATAGTGAAACCGCCATTGGCGACGCGACAGACAGACTGATCGGCTATAGGTACAGAATGATAATATTTCGCTTACCCTGATACGAATCTAAGATTTTTTTCTTCTTTAAAAGTGTCTTTTTCGTCTTTAATTTAGACAATTAATATTTCAAATGCTTAAGAAACTGAATCGATTATAATTGATCAGATTCAACTTTATTTATAAGGTTCAAATATACATAAAATTCGTAGATTTTTATGAAAACGTCAAGTATTTTTATAAACAGTTGCAACTTTGCATATATGAAAATATATAATAATAATCTTTATTGACTATATAATCGATACAACGAATTTTTACACCAGTGATTCTTAAAATATTTTTCATTAACATCTATTTATCAACTGTTGCTGAACTTGGTTGATACCTGTATTTCAGCATACAGCGCCACTGTCCTCAGAAAATATACTCAGTTATAAGTAAAAAAAAAAAAAAAAATAGATAACAAAATACTTTATTAAATAATATAAATTTAATAAGTATACGTTCAGTAATTTGCGTCGATATTAGTTATTGCCTTAAGAAGATTTCACTTTTAGATTTTTCTTAATATATCATTATAAATTACAAAATATTCTTTGACATTATTATTGTAGAAGAATTCTTAGTTATATTTTAATTAAACTATTTTCAAGAATGGTTAAGGTAATGATGTCTTATTGGAAATTTGCAGAAACTGTAAATCCTCTCCTACTGCGCCTTTTAAACAAAGATATTTAAACATGTCTACTTTATAATATGTTTGCTGGTGACTGCGTAATGTAATACTACAAAGAATATGAGAAGAGTTCAATCACTAACATCGAATCTAAATCGAGATAAACAAGTCGTTGACTTGTCATTCTGTGTGCACCACCAATCAACGACAATCCATCTTTATTACGAACTGATTGAGTCAATGTGGTTGTTTTATTAACTGAGGGTTCGACATTTGATTTAATCTTGAGGATGACTATGTTTTTATTAAACAAGGAAAACGTGCCCAGTGCGGATTAGTGGACGTTGACGACTGCAGATGACCAACGGTTAAATGACTTCCGAAGTAAATAAAATAGTATTTATTTGGTCACCGACCCCTGCGAAGATTATTCGCATCGGTCTTCTCGATGGTGCATCGAACAAGCTAACCGTTGCGCTATAGAGCTTTTTTTAGGGTTCCGTATAAAAATCCGCTATCCAGTGGACTGTCAGGCTGTCACCAGGCTGTATCTCATAAGCCGAAACAGATAAACAGTTGAAAATTTGAGGGTGACACATTTATGTTGCCGCAACGAATTCATATAATAAAATGAATATTGGATGGGAATCCAACAAATGTTATTATTTTAGCGTTTTTTTATATAAATAACGGCTAAGAATCCATCGTGCGCGATCGCGACGGACGCTTAGCCCGTATGGGCCGGTTAAATTGATGCCAATGCTCCGTACGACCAATATTGTCCACACGCGATGGGCTAAACCAGTTGCAGGACATTAATTAACTATAGATATCGATTGCCCTGACGGTCTGTTGAAAGAGGGAGCACTTTTAAAATATTTACGAACGAATATCCAACACGTGACTAAGTGTACACACTTAACATAGTTTTAACATCAGCACTTTTAAAGCTTTAAAAGCTAACTGACATTTTTGTGACTACTATTTCACTACGGATTGTCAGTTCATTTAGTATAGTTATTTTTTAAGTTAAACTATGTGTTTTTTACAAGCTTTCATTTAAATTGCCTTGTTAGTATGTTAGCTCTAATAAAATCGGAGACGAAATATACATATTTTTACGCGCTACAAGCTCTTTAAGTCAATTACTATTAGAGAAAATTTTGATTATAGGTAAAGTTCCTAAAATCAAAATTTTCTTTTTAACGTTAACGTTATGAACTTGCCTTGTATTAAATTATTAGTTACGTTAACATGCGCCCAAATTAAAACTTTTTTTTAATCTTTTTTATTACACAACATTAAATATATGCTATATATATGCTCCTGTTTAAAAATTTTGCATCACTTATTTTAACAGAATGCAAAAAAAAGAGGAAGAAAAAATAGCCCTTATGTTAAAATATACCAACATGTGTTGTTATATTATTGCACGAAAAACTATTATGCCAAAGTATATTGAGAAAAAGAGCATTATACTAAAAGCAGAGATCCCCCCAAAAACAAAAAATAATAACATAAATAATCTATTCTTCAATAATGAAAGGTAAAAACATTGTATTTTTTAAATGTTTTAATGATCCAAATATAGTATTTACAAAAAAAAAAACATTACCACAATACGCATAGCCAAAACAAAACACTACAGCTTTGAAAAGCGGGACACTCAAAGTCTTACTATGATAATATTAAGCGAAAATAACCGATTTTAATGTTTGGAACGGAAGCAAAGTTACCTTTGGAAAGGACATATTTTATCACCACCATTTATTGCGAAAAGGAGGTTGAAGTCAAGGGTGAAAGTTTGTATGGAATTTCGTCATTAAAAGTATAGTATTCTGTCGAAGTCCCGGAAAAAGCTAAATTAAATATTTCTTTCGCGCTTAGGCAAACACCACCATACTGACTTCATATAAATGTACGTGAATTATGGACCATTTATACAGGTCCGCCGAGACAGTTTTTAGAATAGGATAGAATACGTTTTTACTGTATTTAGTCACGTGTGATTGCAGATAATCATCAAGCCACTCCATTAAAATAGAACTGTTTGTAATTTTAATGGACTGGTTTATCGGATTGTCTAGGCTATTGGCCTCGTGTAAATTATTGCATTAGGTAGGATGGCTGAAAACGCCATCCGTTTACTTTGGTGGTCACGTTTCCTAAGTTTGCTTATAGGTTTTTAGAACTTAGACTTACGTTTAATTGCAGTGCGATCTACAGAGTGACCGCCCAAAGATACGACATCTTAGCGATGTTATAGCGCTATTTCGTTATAGTTTACTTCTTTGACATTTAACTTAAAAACAAAGGATTAATGATAAAGAATGATGATGGATTTGACAGCAGAGTTTACATACTTAGTCGTTTATTCCAATTTTATTCACAAATATTTAAATTATTAATATTCGCTTAGATGTCTTATCCCATCCTATGGTTAGAGTTACATCTAGGTTTTGACGGTCACACCCTTAGTCGCTAGTGAGCACGTTAAGAATTTCTGTGAAGATTTGTAATTTCTAATAGTTATCGCTAGGATAAGGGCGCTGTGCCGGTTTTCACGAAATATCTACTTGACGATGTCAAAAAAACTTACACTAAGCGCTTTTTGGATTTTATATTATAAACTGAAAGTATACAGTACATATAAATTAATCTCACATGTATCTACTTGGAGGAGCACAGTTAATTTTATACATAATTAATAATAACTTAATGAAGTAGAACTTAACAGAAACGTATACTGTAATAATAATGCGGAAATGAAACCGTTGCATTGGAATAATCATGATCTTAACTAGGTTTTGCTTGTGACTTCGTTTACTTACTAATAGAAAGAAAGAACATATATTTATTGGCTATATAGGTACAATGGTAGCATAAGGTGACCAGTAGGTCAATTTTGTTAATATTTAAGTAAAATTCGTATCTTAATATAACCTAACCTGTGATATGTGAGGAGGAGATAGCACTAATAATATCAGCCCTGCGATTTTGTAAAAATCCAGACCCGAATTCGAATTCCCTCATGTTTCCGAATTAACGTCATTTAGTATAGAAATTCTATTGTTTCCATTTTTTGTATGAAAATACAAAACAAAATTGATTGAATATACGTGACTCAGATATTCTATTCCTATGTCATTTCGAAACTCACTTCACTTATTTCACGAAACGAATTCAAGATTGAGCGGATTTCGCATTTTGAAGTGAATTTGGACACCTGAGTGAATGAAGAAGTATTAAAAAAAAAACGAAAGCACTAAAAAAGCACCTTCACTAGATAGCGACTCTAGCAAAAGTTGATTTTTGCAGGAAACGAGTGGACCAAAGACAGTCAATTCCGTTCCTTTTAACTAACATATTAAAAAGCTGAAATTTGAAAAGTTCGAAACTTAAATATCAATACAAATACGAAAAAGTGCAAATAGAATATGAGTTGTTTATTGAGTTTTGAAAACTAATTTATTTTTAAACATGAAAGAAAACCGGAAAGGTTGTCATGGAGAAATCAAGAACGTACCGTAGCGACATCTAGTTTGATTTAGGGAACTAATGTTTATTTTTTAAATACTTCCTCATTCGGCTTTCGATTTTTACAGAATCGCAGGGCTGGAAGATAGTACATTGGCAAAATTCAAGTCGATAGTCGAGATTCTATTGAGATGTGACTCTTGCGTAAACATGTTTTAAAGCAGAGTTGGCCAACAATACATTTATTTAAGAGCGGAGGCCAATCAGAAGTCTTCCTCAGCTATTTAGCATTACAGTGCAGTTTACTTATGTTATTTTGTATTGTTTTCAGTTCTGGGAGATCATATCTGAGGAACACGGCATCGACCCCACCGGTGTATACCGCGGTACCAGCGATTTGCAACTAGAACGCATCTCTGTATACTACAATGAGGCCTCTGGTAAGAAAAATCTGATGAAAAAATTGCTATCCTACATTTTGAGGTAAACTTTATTACCTCATAATGTAGGTTTTATTTAATGCAACCTCTATGTTGTGACGGGGCTGTAGACGATGTCGAGTTCCATACTGATTTTTAATAACACTAGGTAGGGTTACCAGATAAATAAAATTAAAAAAAAACTATAATCCGGAGAAAAGAACTGATTTCCATTGGAAAATACCGAGACTGTCTGCTACAAAGTCTCGGGATTTTTGGAGATTTTTCTCTCAACCGTACTTGACATTTAAAAATTATCAAATTATTATCTGTTTTTATACACTGTGGATCTCGCTCACTCGTTGCACATCGCAGAGTTAGAAAGATTATTTTTAGTTTGTATAACTTTTTTATTAAAGAGATCTTTAAAATGTAGGTAGGTACTATATTTCACAACAAAATCCTGAGATTTGCAAAATCCGCGCGCAATCCTGACACGAATCCAAAAGTCATCAGATCTCAGGACAAATCTTGAGGCATGATTACCTTAACTGCAGGACACATTGTCTCTTTAATCCTTCATTTGTACCTAAATATGAAGATTAGTGCCACTGACAATTGGTAAATTACCAGTTACACGGTCACCGACCTCGCTAATTGCTAATTCACTGCCTGGTTCATGACCATCATTACGTTATTATGAACCGTGTTTGTAGATTACACGACAAACATTTTAAGTGAAATCCTATGCCTTATAGCATCATATAAAATCGGATGTTAAAATAAACTCCCTTTTTGAAGTCGGTTAATTACATAATAAAAAACAGGTTATAAAATCTGAAAACTACTTTTGCAGGTCTGGAAACATTTTAAACGATAATATCGAATTAAGCTATAATTTTTTTAAATGTAAAATTAACGGGAGTCTATTCCAAAATACAACGCTGAATATGCCATACCATTTTTATAAGATGTAGCTGTTGTCCCTCAACTTCGCCCGCGTATATTTAAGTATAGCCTATTTCACCCGCGTATGGCATAGCTTTCGGTAGGTGAAAGTATTTTTTCAATCAGTCCAATAGTATAATCATATCTTATTATTATACCTATAAAATTCTCGTGTCACATTTTAGACGCTCTACCAAAATTGCTTGGCCGATTTTCATGAAATTGTAATATATACTCAGTAACTTTTAAACTATCACGCTGCATTATTATATACTTATAATAACGGGTACAGTCTCGTCGTGACCACGTCGGCGCAGATCAGTATAAAAATCTCGTCTAATACCCATTATTATAAGTATATATTGAGTAGGTCTGAGAAAAGGTTGATATCTATTTCTTATATCCCTAAGTAATAAGGGTGTTCCACCCCTTTATATGCCAAAATCAGCATTGGTATAGACATTGTATATAATTCTTTCTTATTTTTGGAATGGCTTAAAATTTGACAATTCACCTAAGCTCAATGGTTATAACAGTCACCCGAATTGCGAAAGGTTGTGGGTTCGAATCCCATATTGCCTGGGACTGGTGTATTTGCTAAGCTTTTTTTTAGATAAACATTATAATGTTACCTAATAGATATTTAATTATCAATTCCAATATTTATATATGAAATTTCACTAAATGAAATTCTTCGTTAATATGTTATCTCAACGAATTAATGATATTTAAAACATAGGAACTAAAAAAGCAATTTGATCCTGTATATCCTGAGTTCATTCGCGGTGGTTATAGCACGATGCGTCTACCAGGAGGCCAATTCTACTAAATAAATTTTGTTTAAATCGAATCGAAAACGGATCGAAACCGAACGAAACTACAGTTACTTTGTAGAATAGGAAAACCATTAAAAATTGTAGTTTCCTTCGGTTCGATCCGTTTTCGATTCGATTTAAACAAAATTTACTTAGTAGAATTGGCCCCCTGACCGCACGCCTCACTACTCTTAACTGTTGATAACTGTACTCACAATAATACTGGCATTCGATTAGCCCAGCTTGCACCGCCATTTCCTTTTGAACGCCGGCGATGTAGCATCTAGTCTATACTATATTAAGTATATAGAAGAAAGATTTGATCGATTGTTTGCATTGAAAAGTACCGAAACTATATGATCGATTTTAAAAAGTATTTCGCCTACGAAAAGTTATATCTACGGGCTAAACAGTTTGTGTTTTTCTAAATTAAAAACACCAAAATCGATATTATTTATTCAGTCTAGTTGCACTTTGGAAAGTCGAAAACTGCTATCGGTTCGCAAATCTACAGAGGAAGACCTTGTACAGAGAAGATACAGCAAGATACTCCGCAAAGGCTGCTTTTTCTTCTAACTTTATATCATAGAACGAAGTTCAATGTATATAATGTCTTCATTAGACTATGAAGTCACTTTAAACTAAATTACAGTAGGTATTTTAAAAAAAAATCACCATGCTATTCTGTTGCACGGTTTCATCCTGTTAAATTGCGATTCTTGTGCAGAAAATTATTATGGGTCACAGAAAACAATTAGACATACGTAGAGTATTTTTTAACTAAATATAATTATTGACTAATACACCAAAACAAAACATTTCATAAAATACACAGACATATTTAACATATACATAGTTCTAGATACAAAATACATACTCGTATAAGGAGTCTCTCGGCCAAGGAGTACTCATATTTTACAAAAATAACTAAAATAAATATTAAACAACATCACATACATGCTCAGATTCCAAGATGAGTAGATAGTTAAAGCCCCCGTATTATGGAGTATCTGAGACAACGAAGGTACCACAACACCCAGACCCGAGACAATATAGAAAAGTTCATTTTCTACATTGACCCGACCGGGAATCGAACCCGGGACCTCAGAGATGGCGACACCTAGAAACCGGCATGCAAACTACTCCGCTAGGTAACAAAAGTAAACTTATAAAATCATAGCGTACAGGAGTATGATTATTTGATTACATGGGGTAACGTTATAATGAACCCTTTCAAAGATAGTTTTTTTTTTAAATTTAGTTAAGAGAACTGTACAGCAGAATTGGCACAATGTTAATATTCTTAGATAAATGAAATGGCATTATGAATAAAAAGAATTTTAATTAAAAACATTCCTGTCATCATGATAAACATGTTGAAAGACAGCCGATGTCGTAGCTATCATAAGTTCATCTACATTTATATGAAAGTACCGGTCAATTAAAGTTATCTTCAGAGATAAATTCTACAGATCTTAAAACAAATAGTCCCGACCAACAATGTACCATTGTTAGAATCATTCAAGTGGTACAGATAATAAATAAATAGCTCGTTATTAACTGTTATGATGAAAACTTTCTTATTGACATTGTGATTTTTCACATGGATTGTCGGTTTATTAATATTACATTTTATTTTTTTCTGTACCTCAAAATGAAAAAAATAAATAAACAGTATAACATCACTCTATTGCCCATCTGTCTGTCTGTCTGTCAAGATCACTATTTCGTGAAGGCGTGGAGATATCGAATTGAAATTAAAACCATGTATTTACTCAGGTCTACAGTCTCTTGAAGCTGTTAAAAGACGAAAATTCTAAATCAACATGAAAAAAGATACGTCCATTTGCACATAATTTTTAAAACACATTTCGTCACGCTCAAGTTTACTTATAAGTTAATTTGTAATTAAATCAAAAGTAAAAATTTAAAATTGAAGATTTTTTAATTTATGTGATATCTCATATGAAAAGGCTTGATGTGCATATTTCAAAACACATTTTATTTCTTATTCAAGATACATACATTTTATTTTAATTAATGATAATTAATAATATTTAATGTTAGTTCGGAAATCTCAGGACCCAAGTCCGACTCGTTCTTGGACGGTTTGTCCCTTTACGAAACCAACTTCCGCAATTATGAGCCGACCGCTTCAACTACTGCGCTATCGAACTGTTCCACGACATTCATTTAATCATATTGTAAACCTGATTTTATTTTTTTATATACTTATACTTTTATTGTCCTATATACCTGATATTCTTGATTTGAATTAACATTCCTTACATTCGTTCATTTACATTTAATGTAAGAAAATATCTTTCCATAAAGGATTTTTGTAGCTTGTGTAACGAACCTATATTTTCATACGCTTCCAGACATACAGTTAATATTTTTAATGATAATTTTACCAAATGCATCGTAAAAATCAAAAGCCCTATGCCACTATAAACCCAGGATGGCAAAACATAGGGCAAAACTATGAAACATATGTTCACTTATTATCAATTGTAGGCAAATTTTACCTACGTCCCAGATATGATTCCTAAATTAAAATACCACTTTAAATATAACTCTTTTAATGCACTCAGTAAGAAATAAGTGATCTCATAAAGAGTCTGTTTCGGATTCTGCCCCAATGGAATAAGAAAGAAGTCAAAAATTGTACAGCCGCAGCCGGCGTCATAAGTTTTTGCAACTCTCTCAGAGCAGACATCCGTATAACACGCTGGGATAACGGATTTGATTGTCCGAGTTCTTGATTCCATTGGAACATCGAAATAGCTGTTTTCAGAACTCACATATTTTATAGTATGCCAAAACGCTTCTTTATAAATAAACCTTATCTCGCAGGAGTACTGCCTGTTAGTTGTTTAATATAGAATTCTAATGTAATATTTATGTTTTCAACGTTACTTTTGTTCTGCAGTTGCGACGAAGGAGAGCGGGGGCAAGTACGTCCCCCGCGCCATCCTCCTCGACCTCGAGCCCGGCACAATGGACGCCGTCCGGTCCGGCGGGTACGGCCAGTTGTTCCGCCCGGACAACTTCGTCTTCGGCCAGTCCGGCGCCGGCAACAACTGGGCTAAAGGACACTACACAGAGGGCGCAGAATTAGTAGACGCCGTTCTTGACGTCGTTCGTAAAGAGTGCGAGAATTGTGACTGTCTCCAGGGCTTCCAGTTGACGCACTCTCTCGGTGGCGGCACCGGCTCCGGCATGGGCACCCTCCTCATATCCAAAATCAGAGAAGAATACCCCGACAGAATAATGAACACATACTCAGTCGTACCGTCCCCAAAAGTATCAGACACAGTAGTCGAACCTTACAACGCCGTCCTCTCTATCCATCAACTCGTAGAAAACACAGATGAAACCTACTGCATAGACAACGAAGCTCTCTACGACATATGCTACAGAACCCTCAAAGTCCCCAACCCGACATATGGAGACCTCAACCATCTGGTGTCGCTCACCATGTCCGGCGTTACCACTTGCCTCAGGTTCCCCGGTCAGCTAAATGCGGATCTCCGCAAGCTCGCAGTGAACATGGTACCATTTCCCGCGTCTTCATTTCTTTATGCCTGGATTTGCGCCCCTCACATCTCGCGGCAGCCAACAGTACAGAGCGCTCACCGTCCCAGAGCTGACACAACAGATGTTCGACGCCAAGAACATGATGGCGGCCTGCGACCCGCGCCACGGCCGCTACCTCACCGTCGCCGCCATCTTCCGAGGCCGCATGTCCATGAAGGAAGTCGACGAACAGATGCTGTCCATTCAAAACAAGAACAGCAGTTTCTTCGTAGAATGGATTCCTAATAATGTGAAAACAGCAGTTTGCGACATACCTCCCAAAGGACTGAAGATGTCTTCGACTTTCATCGGTAACACGACGGCTATTCAAGAGTTGTTCAAGAGAATTTCAGAACAGTTCACCGCTATGTTCAGGCGTAAGGCTTTCTTGCATTGGTATACCGGCGAAGGTATGGACGAGATGGAATTCAACGAGGCAGAGAGCAATGTGAACGATCTGGTGTCAGAATACCAGCAGTATCAAGAGGCGACCGCGGAGGACGACACAGAGTTCGACCAGGAGGATATGGAGGAATTGGCACAAGACGAACAGCACGATTAACTCTCTATAATTGTAGTTACATACTCATCTTTTGTGATGTGATAACATTAACTGGTCAAATAAACGTGGATACGTAAGCTGGTCTGAAAAATTTAAACCCTCGCCCGGTACTGTCGGCTTCAAAAGGATGTAACGTAGACATGTTTTGAAGTGGACTTTACCATTTTATACTTCGTAACTTTTTTAATAATGTAAAGACTACTGATGAGTGCGTTCTTTTTTTTTAAATTAATAACCAAAGCGTCCTATTGCGCAATCGAAATTTGGTTTTTAGCATTCGATCTCGCACTATTATCTGTCAATGTAGCTTGACACGTCATAAGAGTGCAAAATAATGTTTTATATAATTATCGAATTGTATTATTTTATTCGAAATAGTCTGTTTTAAAAAAATGAATTTTAAATAGTTAGCTAAGAGTCAAAAAGATGTGTAAGAAACGTACCAATCTGTGCATTTCTTAGCTTAAGTTATTATAATGTCTTGTATGCTTTTTATATATTAATAATTTATAATTAAATGTTTTAAACAAATAATTGTATACTTATTACCAGGAGTGCCTCTGCCAGGAGAATTCTACAATTCTCGTTCATTACTACAGTGAAATTTCTACAAAAGTTTATTTATGCTCATGCGAAGCTGCTAGTTATAAATAAAACAAACATAAATACAATAGACAAATATTTATTATAATCTGTTCTCGTCACTTAACTGTATTAATATATCGAATTCCACTTCTTCAATATTTACACAATAATTCTGAACACAATAATAATATGATCTAAAAGTATTATACGTTGAAATATATTGTAAATAATATAAAAACAAAATATAACTATAAATTAGTATATATGTCAAAATTTATTTTCAATATAGGATTGTGTTGTGCAAAAATAAGACAACCAAGTTGAAGACACAAATTAAAACCAACTAAATCCATATTGTCATACAAAAAGAATTCTAAAAAGATAATCTAACAATTTAAATTCATACTAATATTATAAATGCGAAAGTAACTCTTATATGTTTGTTACGTTTTTACGGCCAAACTACTGAACCAATTTTAATGAAATTTGGTACACAGATAGAGTAGACCTTGGGAAAGGATACAGGACAGTTCTTAATATTGTTCATATATTAAGATTGAATATTAACGCACAACACCTAATCCTAATATAATTTTATTAGTACAAAAACCATAAGAACTTTCACCAGCAAATACACTACTATTTTAGTAGAATTTTATATAAACAGAAAACAATAGAATTAATTAACACACGACGATAGTGCAGGGAAGGTTTCATAAAAACTAAATGCAAATATAATTTTAACAAGTTAACGTACAATTTGAACGTCAGTTTATTACAAATAATCGAATTTCTTCAACCGATTTAGAGCCTCAATTTATTTCTAGATAAGTTCAAAATTGATTGCAGAAATGACGAAACAAGATAATTATCTAAATATGTGTCAAAATCAACGAGTGTTTTATTACAAATAACTTCAATTAATTAATTCTAAAACCAGATAAGAGATTCTAATTGTCACTCCTCACAATTACCTTAATATTTATAAAACTCGTGTTGCTGCAGATTTTTTTATATAATTATTGCCAACTTAGTATAAAATTAATTTACCCTAATTGATTGTAAATGAAAGCAAATTAACCATTTACATTATTTTTTTTTTAATTTTGTTTTAAAAGTATCTATCAATATCTGCATTTTTTACACGACACCGAATTTACAAGAAAGATCGAAAAGAATAAAATTTGATTTGACAACAAATAATCTTGTTAATGTGATTAATAATCACAAAAGTAAATAATATAAAATGTCTAGAATACATTACTTAGAAACAATATTTCTCAAATACATTCGGAGGCTTATCGATATTTGAAGTTCAGAATGACGTGACACACTGGTGTTGTTACAAGTTCTTGTTCTTTGACAAATATTGAAAAGTCATTGCGAATACAATATTTACTTAAAATATAGGTATTAGCTGCTTTGTTTAAGAATTAAAGCTAAATTTATCAATCATACATAAAACGATACGTAATTTTACATAAGTTAATGTTACAAACCAAAAGTACATGGCAAAGTTAATAAAGAAAATAAAATTAAAGCTGAAATAATATTTGAAATACTCGCATATTATTTTATTCGTTCTCATAACAAACGTAAGAAAATTATGGCAATCAAAACCCTGACTCTAGCTGTAGGATACGATATCTAGGCGATTTTAATGTCAATATTTCGTTTTATTTTAATACATTGATTGAGTTGGTCACACTACTGTCAAATCCAAAATCATCATTACTTATCATTCGTTCTCCGTTACCAAAGTACATGTCAAAGTAGTAAAATGAAAAAAAAATATCGCTTAAATGTCGTATCGCGCCTTGTGAGTTAGGCAGTCGCACCCTGAAACTGACTTTTGTGCCAATTATTAGTATAGAAAATCAACAATATGTTTTATATTACGTACAATTCATTATGACTACAGAAAAGGAACAAATATAAATTATTATTATTACTTTAATGACGAGAACGTCGAGCTCATACTCTCAATAGGAATAAAAACCTAATCTGAGAGCAAAATATAACTATGAATACGAACGTCACTATTATTAGTTTCGAAAACTGTCAAGAAATGGGGCCCGTGTTCTGATTTGATTATATTGTTAATTAATGAAATAGTCAATTATTGTTTATTTCTTGCAGGTATAATTATAAACATTAACAACATCACAGGATTAGATAGCAATTATAATAAACAACTACGTCTATTCTATGAATTTATATAATTCATAGCAATTTACTGTCATAACCTCGATATCCTGGCTCATTACGAATTCGGGTTCGGCCCTCCTGCCTGATATATAAGGTGGAAGGTTATTTTGTACCAGGACTTCGTAGGATAGATGGGTTAAGTATACTTAACAACTTTTACTATAGCAGTCACATCGAATTCGCGAAAAAATAATCAGCTGTTTCATTCGGCTATCGATGGTAAATATTACAAATTTATAGTAAAAGTTGTTCAGTATACTTTAATCATCCACTCCGCTAAGATCTGGCACATAACAATATTTCACCTTATATAATTAATTTACCCTGTTTTAATACTAACCCTGTATATAATAAACATAAAAAATTATAAATTGGAATATTTAACGGCAAAAACACCTTTATCTAAATCAAAATGTAGCCTCCATAATATAGTACTTGTAGTTGTTACAGTGGCAAAAAAATAACATCATCTGTTAAAATTTCAACTGTCGAGCTACCACGATTCATGAGATACAAGCCTGGTGACAGACACACAGACATTAGTCTCAATAATACGCGCCCTCTACCCTTTGTGTAGGGAAACCTAAAAATGTTTCTTTTTTAAAAATACACCTTATAAGAAACTACCTATAGAGTTAGTTTCTAATATGGAGTATTTTTTAATACATCATAAACGAAAACGTCTAATAAACGGCTATTAACCATAAAAAATAACAAGACAAGTGACGTTCTATTCTATAAGCCAAAATGATTCGATTGTTTTGTTCCAAATCATAAGTGTACACATAAAATTTTACATCCAGACATTACAGCATACCAGTCGAACATTACAACAAAACTAAATAGTTGTAATAATAACAACAAATTACAAAAAGAAAGAGAAAAAGAATATGGCAGCATAATATTTGTAGTAATTCTAAATTTAAACTATTTTGTTCGGTTATCTTAAATTTTAATAATATTACTTTATAAACTATTTATTGTGACATTTGACGATCTACCAACATATACAGTGAGAATATGTTTTGGGTCTAAATTTCGCTTTCGGTGGGAATATGTATATAATGTAAATACTATAATTATATTGTAACAGTTATACGTCACCAGATGGGGTTGTGGTGTTTCGAATCGCGCCAACTATAAGTCTCAAAGTAACTGGTATATTCGACGGCCGACAAGAGACAGCAAATGGGGGAAAAGGACGGGTAGAGGTTAATATTATTTTAAGGTAAGCAAGCCTTTTTTATTATTGATGGGACGTACTAGTCCAAACGCGTACTTTATCTTGGAAGTACGTGTACGCCAAAATATTTATTCCACGAGTATTTAGGAGCACGCCTCTTTAGAGTGCACTCGTGACACATATTTAGTCCAAGCCAAGATATCGCAAGTGTGTGAGTTTGATCCGAAGTCATTGTCACACAGTTATAAGAAATATTATGAACATTTTCTCTAATATGATAAATAATTAAATTAAGTAAAATAAAAAACTATAATCCCGAGGGTAACAAAGGGTATGTTCCGATATACACTGCGAGCACTGCGCAGTGGTCTTACTGCTGAAAAATCCGTTCCGTTATGGACTGCCAGTACACTGCTACAGTACCCTAGGGAAATTTATGACGTCATAAATTGCCGCCATATTTGTACTGTGAGCATTGGAGATTTCGAGGTAAGGTGCTCGCAGTGCTTTTGATCACGTGATCAGTTGAAACAAAATCAGAAAATGATAAGTTTCTAAATAAACAAAAAAAAATACTTACGTTTATTTATAAGATGGATTTAATTGATAAATAATTTTTTTATACAATTTTCCAATTTTCTTTTGAAAAGAGGGAATCTTTATATTTATATTCACCTTGCATTAACAAATTTGAAAATGGCGCCAAAAAATAGGATTAACAGTATACTGGACTGCGTTCCGTTTTAAAAAGTCACCAGTATAACTAGCTATAAAGGAACGGGCTTCCAGTATACTAAATTGACGTCATACTGTTCAGTGGTCGCAGTGTATATCGGAACATACCCTTAATGAAACAGCTTATATATCGTATGTAAAAAAGGGAAGAACAAATACCTAATCAGCAGAAATAGTTAACTCATACTTACAAGTAAAATTCTTAACACATGTAAATCACATATATCATAAATTTAAACATAATATTTTATTAATAACTGTTTTTAAATGTGGTATAAGTAATTCAAATATAATTTAATAATGTGTATTCTGCAACTTGGACGATTCAAGTTTTTATTAAGAAACCCAAAAAGGGGTATGTATTCGTTTTATTTGGTAATTTTAAATTTTACATTTAGTTTAAAATACGAACTGGTTTTATATTCATTTTTTGTTTGTTACAATATCTTTACTTTATCCTTTACACCATAAATAAATCCATTTTCAAGCTAGTCAGCCTTTCATTCATCGGCCTAAGCATCGAACCCGTCACAGGTTGAACGCTGATTCGTTACTTAGTATTTAGACGTCCAGGCAAAAACTTATTCCAGTAAATACGTCACAGTCCTATTTTTCATTAGATAAAATAAAATATACCATACAGTTTCCACATGGCGGTAGATCGTCAAAACACACAAAGTACATTATTTTAGATTTTACACAATTTATACACAAAATACACAGCATTAATAGACTACATTAAAATACTATTTCGGCACTTCATCTCTTATTACTACGTAAGTAACTAATGCATTCAATTTTTTAACACTAAAACATATTTAACTGTATACATAATTTTACATTATATTACGCCTACAATGATCAAACTAAGCACGAAAAATCATTAAATGCGTATATAATTTTATTTCGTATTTATTGACATATGCACATCGCCATTTACCCATAGATAATAACTGTATATAATGGGGAATATATGACTAATTAAAAGACGGTTAAATATATTTTATTACGATTTTTCAACATTATTAAGTTTTCATCTTGAAATTAATTATTAAAAACTGCAAAAAAAATGCGGTAACTTCGAAATATTCAAACGCCATGCTACTTGTTAGAGTGGATTTGACAAAAATATACACGTATAGGGATGTCTTTATTACAAAAAGTTAACATCGATGCAATAACACCAATGTAGTATGTCGCAAAATAAAGAAAAGATTTTAATTTAAATGATATTTTAGACTTTATATTTTTATTTCACCTATAGGTAAACTATATGATTATTAAAAAACATCTATTATGTTTTAAAAATCGGTTTGGGTAATCGAATTATAATCAACCACTCAAAATCCATATCGATTTTAAAATGTCATAGCTCTAGTCGTGTACTTTGACGTCATGACAAGCGCGCCAAAAATTCCGACGTTTAAACTGCTCGTAGTGGTTACTTATTTTCTAAAATTTGTGCCGGCGCCGGATATTTATTTTTAGTTATATAACGATGTAAAGTATCGTATGAAAACCTTTAAAAAAATGTGCATATTCCCTATTAAAAACGTCTGTATGTTAAAAAGAGTGAAAAAATCAGTACAATATCTTTCTCTTTACTGACGCGTACACAATAGAAGACTGCTATGTATAGACAATCGTCTGTTTTGCTTCCGAAAGAGATAAACAGGGTACCACGGTCTTCCCTCTCTTTCCAGCGACAGCTGCACGTATGATTTCTGTGCAGTATCTACAATACGTCTATACATCTACCCCCGTAAATACAACATTTTTCCACGTTCTGCTAGATACAAATTGGTTAGCATTGTATATAATTTTTCGTGCTTAGGTGTTAGTAAACCAAATTCGGCATAATCGTTTCCAGGTTTCAATACCGAGGCGAGACAATATACGGAAAGATCTTTGTATTGTCTGGAGTACGTATGTTTATGGTTTTGCTAATAAGCCGAATTCGGCGTAGTCGTTTCCAGGTTTTATTACCGAGACGAGACAAGATATTAGCATTGTCTGAAGTCTGTGTGTTTATACAATAACAATACAAAGACAATACTATACATTAAATATAAAAGTTCCGGGAGTCTTAATATCGCTTAAACACAACAAACTCTGTTGTTAATATGAGACACCGCTATCTCGCTTCCACAACTGTATTTGGATCGCGTTACCGAAATCATAATTAATATATATTTTATATTTTAATTCAATTTTCAGACGATAACATTTTTTCCTATTATACATATAGGCACACATTTCCAACATATCACTTTTTATTATCAAAATGGATTAGCCTAGTCATTATATTAAACGTCTAGACTGAAATATCGAGACTACTAGTCAACTTATTTCTAGAAATAGAAAATTTAACACTAAAACCTGTTTAGACACTTCATTAAGTGGCTAATTCATTGTTCCTTCAACTATTAAGGGTACTTTGATCATTATACATGTATTATCTACAAAAGAAGCTCATCAAAAAGGACTAATAACTCATCATTTGGATTGTGATTCAAGAGGAAACCTTATCTGAGGTATTAATAAACAAGGTTTAGCATTGGAGTAAATTCACGCTGAGAATGCACTTCGTATTATTTAAAATTCATATTATTAAATAGAGACTTAGCAAAGGTTAACTTAGTATGTGGTTCTACGGGAGTAATATTTACTCCTAGAAGGTTTGCTTATTCCCTGTATAATATGAATTTGGACTAATATTAAAATTGCATTTTTAACGTAAATTTTCTCTGACGCTAAACCTTGTTTATTAATAGCACTGTATATGTATAATAAAGGACCACGCGGGCAAAGCCGCTAGCGGAATGCTAGTATTATTATAATCGTCAAGTAAACAATTGAAATAAGACTCACTATAAAATATGACCGTACGTTCGGTCATGGTCAACATTAATTATACTATATTTTAGTTGGAACTTAGTGTTCTATAAGGGTACGTTCAAACTGGCACCTCGTTATCGTCCGCCAGTCGTATGGAGGTATCGCTGGCGGCAAGTTTCAGTAAAGTTTTCTTGATACGTAACGCGGGTAGTCGCACCGCCGCGTTCTGATGCCAACACTCTCGCATCAGGTTCGCCATACCCACCATTGTCTGTAGTACAAAAAAAAAGAAAGTCAAATGTGATGGCTAGTTAAGAGGGCGTAAACAAATAAAAAAACTGGCTAAGTGTGATTTGGACTTGCGCGCGAAGAGTTCCATAGCTTTTATTATCGACAAAAAAAAACTCCTTTTTATGGGAACAGACGCTACATACTTTTTTTTTGTAATAGAAGAAGCAAGAGAAATATATCACTTGTGAAGATTTCAACTGTCGAACTATCACGGTTTATGAGATACAGACTGGTGACAAACAGACAGATAGACAGACGGGACGGACGGACGGACAGCGATAGATGCAAGGTTAAATAAAAATATCGATGTACACAATCGGTATCGATATATTTTAGATCTTAAGAAAATTCTAAAGTTCTTGTTTATAAAAAAGTTATAAGTAAAATTCGTAAATATTAACAATTCTGCCAATAATTTCTGACCGGATGTGTACCGTAGTACGGTGGACAGTACTATCTATGTATATACAATAACTGGCCGGATGTGTATCGTAATACGGCTGGCGATACTACCTGTGTACAATAACTGACCGGATGTGTATCGCAGTACGACGGACGGTACTATCTGTATACAATAACTGACCGGATGTATATCGTAGTACGGCGGGCGGTACTATATGTATACAATAACTGACCGGATGTGTATAGTAGCACGTTGGGCGGTAATATCTGTATACAATAACTGACCGGATGTATATCGTAGTACGGCAGGTGATACTATATGTATACAATAACTAACCGGATGTGTATCGTCGGAGGGCGTGGGCCGGGCAGCGTCCGTGCACACGATCTTCCTCATGTCGTCGTATGTGGGGTCGTTGGGCGCGACCTCGTAGTACGGCGGGCGGTACTCGCGCGCGGGCCTTACGCGCCTGCACACCTCCCACAGGACCAGACCGAACGCGTATATGTCACACTTCAGGTACGACTCGAAACATTCCGCGTTCATGCTGAAATATTTACAACAGTTTTTTTTAATTTTTATTAACATTGCTATATGATTGTTTATTGAATTTTGAAAATTAATTTAATTTTATATATGAAAGAAAACTGGAATTGTCATGGAGAAATCAAGAAAGTACCGTAGCGACATCTAGTTTGGTATAGGGACCCAATATTTTTTTAAATACTTCATCATTGCACTGTGACATCGTAATATGTCCAAACGTTGGCGCAACAAACAAGCTAAATCAAAATAAAACCGCACTTTGAAGCGTTATGTCTACGAACATCTTTGAGACTGACCGGACATCTAGTTGTATTGTCGATCAAATATTGGAATCGACATTATGATTTTTTAAATATAACAATTGAATAGTAAAATATCTTTATTAATCAGGTATTCATATAACACTATTTTCTTTATGTTTTATTCCCAATTTTAAATTGTCCCACTTTAGAAGTGTGATCAAAAAAGTATTTGACCTGTTTTCGGTTTCAAACGATTTCAAGTTTACTCATTTAACCGACAGCAAAGTTTTATAATTGGTGAATATTTTGTATCAATATGAAAAAAAACCAGAGATAGATTTTTAAAATAATTTGGTCTTGGTCAAAATAGTTTGACAAACGCTTATATAATGCATGTACTGACCTGTTGTCCAGTGCTTCGGGACTCATATATCTCTTGGTTCCCTGTCGTGGGTCTGGTGTGGAATGGGCCACGTGTGCTCTTGTCACTGCCAGCCCAAGGTCCGCTATACAACACTCGCCGTTCACTTTCACTAGAATGTTCTTAGTCTTTATGTCGCGATGGGCGATGCCCGGCTTACCCTAATAAAGATATATAAACATTGACCAGGTTTAATCGTTCATTTGCATGTAAATTATAGCCTATTTTAAGAAGAATAATTATCAAATCATAGAATACTAGCACATTTCACATCTCTATTTAGCCTCTTTTTATTTAATTAATTAATTAATATTCAGTAGTTCGATTGATGAATTAGTTATCTTAGCTTTTTATACAGGGTTATTTGTAAAACGTTATCAAACTCCCAGGACTAGACAGTGAACATCAAAAATAACGTTGGATATAAGAGTTTTAACTTTTAACAAAATATGGTATTTAATTTCGAAGAAAATCTTAATAAGCTCAATGCTTAAACACACGCTAGGTAAAATGCCTATGTGTTGCACGTGCAGTTACTTACATTCTAATGGTATATTAACTATTTTAAGGAAGGTCTGAGCCCCTGCAGTGGGGGCATAAAAGGGTTGATGACGATGATGTACCTGTGTTCCGTGTATTTCGGTGTGGAGATGCAGCAGTCCGTTAGCTGCGGACAGGCATAGTGCCATCATTTGATGCCGCGTGAGCGCGCTCCGGCTCAAGTGTTCGTACAGCGAGCCCAACGGGTGGAAGTGGGTTATCAACCACAGCTGCACCAACAGACAAACCGACTAGTTATAATAACATGTTTATTGCTACTACCCGCAGCATATTACAACTAAAAAAAAGTACCATTACACTTTTCCATTTTCAATTAGTCTAGGGAAAAACTAGTCTCCAGAATTTTATATTATATATATTTGAAAAAGTTAAATTAAACAAAGTAATTTAAATAAGCTAAAAATATCCACCTCTTAGATAAAAGTACCACATTAACTACACGTTACCCACATAGCAAATAATACCTTGATTATTATTTACAACTTTTGAAGCAATCAATAAATGTATTTATATTTCTAAATAATTATTCGATCAAAATAGTGTTAAAAATATTTGAAATTAATACTTTAATGCAATCTACATATTTTAGGGACTTTTGAAAGGCATTTGACTGTGTTACTTATATTTAAACACTATTATAAAATCTAGAGTATTGTAGTGACTCAAAATTCTAAATTGTCTCATTGATAAGGTTATATCTTTCCACTGATGACATTCAGTAAATGTCATTTATTTCCATAGCTTTCCATTGGTTTAGCAATATATACTTATATAATTAAAAATTTATTCATTCATTCATTAATAAACAAAATTTATTTATTTATTATAAATTGTCCATGAAATGTATGTCACATTTGGCATGTCAGAATTTTACAATACTATCAATTAATTGTTACAGCTTACATAATATAATTATATTTCATAAATTTGCAATTTGTATCATTATAAAATAATTCGTCATTCTCAAAATAAAATAATTAATGATTGAATGAATATTCTTTATTGCAATATGAAACAAATCCAAAAAGTACATTATACTAGATACAGTAACACAAAAGGCGGCCTTATTGCTAAGGAAGCCAATCTCTATCAGGCGACCCTAGGCTAAAGGAAACGACACCAATTATGGAAATTAACTGCAGGTTAACGCATTAGTAGAAACAACATAACAATTAAAAAGTTATATGGGTCAAATCAACACACTTAATAATGTATATAAAAAAGTAACTGTTCTGACTTTTGTCTTACTTTATTATAGTTTAATAAAATTCTGGAAATCGAATTTAGCGTAGCACGAAGAAATTAAACATAATTTCTTGGTGCTACGCTAAATTCCATATTAAGATATAATCTAGTTCTATTCTATCTACTAGTGAACATATTCACTTAAATGTTTTTTACATTAAGGATAATATAAAAATATATTAAACTCTGTGTACTGATTCAAAATTACCGTGTATATGATAAAAATCAATATAGCATTGTAAATAATTAAATATTTATTTACCTGTGTACAACTCCCTCTGCTGGTACAGTCGCTGCCAACATACGCGAGTATATTGTCGTGACGTAACAACACAGTACTGTATATTTCAGTTTCTCGTCTCCAGCTTGCTTCGTCACGTGAGAAGAATATCTTGACGGCAACGCTGTCAGCATACCATGAACCACGCCATACCTCACCGTATCGACCCTAAAACAAAACATATTTTTCAGATATAATAATATTTTCAGGATATTAATGTATTTATTTTATTCGTTTGTATTTGTCAGTATAAGTTGAATAACATGGACAATTTGGGGTGTTTGAAATAAATTGCAGACCAATAGAGGAGCTGGGAAAGGCATATGTCCTATGTTGAATAAAAAAGTTATGATGGGATAAAAGAGAAAAGGGGGATTAGAGAAGGAGAGCAGGGGAAGGAGATTTCTTTCCACTTAACTGTACAACAGTCTCCACTTAACAGTAACTGTCCATACCATTTCGGGTATGGACAGTTACTGAGTCAAGAGCCCCCTCTTATTTGATACCGTAGCAGTAGTGAGATATTAACTCAATATTGAATGACTAGTATACACTTACTCGTGTTTGTTAGGGAACCTCTGATGTGGATCGATAGCCAAAATAAATAGTCTATTTACCAAATTGCAATTAACCCTACAAATTCTTCACAATTGTACTTGTTAACCGGACTTCAAGTATTGATGCAAAAATTGCTCAGTATTGAAAACAACTATCGAGTTAGTAGTCGTATCGAGAGGTACTGTATAGATAGTTACCTTGCCGACGCAGTCTATGAGCGTGACCTGCTTGGCGAGTGTGCGCTGCACCATCAGCGGCAGGCCGGAACCGGAACCGGAGGTGACGCTGCACTCGAGGTACTCGCGCAGCGTCGAGTCCCCCGCTGCCACCGCGCGGAGACCGCAACCGTTCTGCGACCCCTCCACGCCTATATCACACAACACCACATTATCGGCGGACTAATGCACCACTGTTTACACTTCCACACATTGTCCTGCACTGAAATTTAGACTGCGTAGTACCACATTAACTAGTCTCAATGGAGGTGTGCGGTGAAATGCAGTCGATCTACACTTATATTAGATTATGAGTTCGTTTCTAACTTTGTTTGTAGAGGTCAATTTTCGTAAATGCTAATCAGATCATGATAATTCTTCCACCTATGGGAAACTACATCATATGATGAATTTTAAAAGCATTTTTTAATAAAGATATTTATCAGTATAGCATTAAAAATTAAATGCTGTTCATTTGTATCACTCCGGTATGAATTTTGTCTGACTCGTTCCCTTGGTTCTGAAATTGAAATTGATTTTATTGAAAGTTTTATCACACTCTGTATGTTCCCTTCCGCCATAATTAACTGTATTTTACGTCTCGTTTTCATAAAAAAATATTTTGCGTATAATTGTAGATATAAATAAGTTGTCAGATTATTTATCCACGATCATAATTATGTGTTATATTCACTTATTCTAATGCATATTTACATCACATATTCAAGTTTGATATCAAACGCTGCATTAGATCGGAGTATGTCACGAAATCGATTTGTAAATAAGAGTACATTATACTCACAATGCGAATTGATAATGATTTTTATAAGAATATGATATATCGAGTAAAAAAACTCTTGTCTGTGATTAATGAGAATACATTCCAGAAAATATTATTTAAATATTTCATAAGTAAGTATGCATCACTTATATATATTGTTAACTTTTAAAACGATATATAACACATAGTGATAACTATAATATAGTTTCAAGAATATAATATTTTCAGGGGGCTACTCATAAAAAAATATTTGCAAAAATAATTATAGCGCTTGAGGTACTTATCGATATTGAACGATAGAGCGCTCTATGGGTTAAGAAGTCCAACAATGAATTTTCTTCTAAAATATTAGTCTTTTAACAAGTTAGTACATGTAACACAATTTCTATAATATTTTGAAAGTTTTAAATTTTGTGTTAATCAATAATGTATATTTTAAGGGGAAAATAATTTTCAAAATCAGTTTCCATCTACGTCAACCCACGAGGCCGATATTGACCACTTTGGGAATCTCTGCTCTAGAAAATATTGCTGCAACGGAAATTATCTAAATATAACAATACATAGAGTTTAATAAATATTTTAAAATATCTTTATTTATCTACTTCCTTACCTTCATAATACGCGCTGGTAACATGTGGACTGTACAAATTGCTGGAGAAGTAATTAGAATCGGCGCCTAATTTATGAAGCGCAGCCCTGGACACGCGCAATCTGTTTACAAACACATTATCACAAGACTTTATACTTAATCTACATACAATTGAGTTCCAAAATCGCATGCAGAAATTTGAGATATATATTCGCGTCATGTTAAGGTTTACACTATATATTACCCCAGACCCTGGACAATATAGTTAAGTTCTTACTTATGTAACTGAAAACCAGATTCCATTATAATTACCTGTGACTCCTGCGCAACACGAATATAGCCATAGCTCCTATAGCGCTCACTATAAGGACTGAAGCTATCACACTGGCCCACAACTTCCATTTATTGGAGGGTAAAGGCTCTATAGATGTGTCAGCAACAGGAGGTAGATCGGGAAAATTCCCGTCGTTACATAAGTCACCTTTGCAGCATGTGATGTTCAATTGACCGGCATGACGTTTCCTATAAAAAAATATATACATATATATTCAGTGTAGATGTTGAAAGCACTGTGGAAGTTGGCAAACATCTACATGCCCCAATATCCTCTAAAATATTCTTGAGACACGTATAGACAGAGGTAATGTATAGTACACCCAGCAAATAAGAATTAGATACGTCACAGAGTATCTCAGTTGTCTGAACTTATTGCACTATACCAACTCCCCCCACCCCCAGTACTTTTTGTAAAATAAACCATACACCATTAGTCAAGACCTTATTCTCCCTATTTTATTCGATTTCGTCCACAATGAAGACCTGTGGGTAGTGGGCACATTAATAAGTCGGCGACGATGATGAATCTCACCCCTGCCGTTGCGTGGTGCGGCACGTGAACTGGTAATGGTCGCTGGTGCTGCTGCAGCCGCGCGAGTGCTGCAGCGCGCCGTCCGCAGCGCGCACCGATGCCTTGTAACAATACAACGCGTCCGAGCACTCGCGCGGGGACCACTCACAGTCCTGAGACTCGCATTGATGACACCTATATCTGTTCACAATAAACACAGTTTTCATTTATTATAAAGGTTGATTTGAGGCTCCATAAAAGTGAAATCGACAAAAGAACTTACAGCAGGGCTATATATTAGATTTAAAATATGTGGTGGGCTAGGTTGAAATCTATATATATATAAATGAATCGCCAAAATGTATGTATGTGCATAACTTCCCAATAACGGTACCAAATTGGATGATTATTTTTTTATGTGTTCCTTATTGTCAGGAGAGAGTTTGTATATAAGAAGATTTACAAAGAAATAATTTACAATAACAGGTATATGGAAGTACGAAGTTCGCTGGGTAAACTAGTTACAAAATATATACTGAATTATTATTAGAAAAGCTACATGAATTAACACACTTTTTCATCTAAGCACGTGCTGCTCTTGGAATTGCTTATGAGTAAAGTGAGCCCATTTTCGAATTTCCATAGAGTGTGGGCTAAAATCTCAAAACTACTGGCCAAATGCGATTTGGACTCAAGCATGAAAGGTTCTATAACCTCTTATACTGGGTGTCTCAAAATAAATTTTATTTAAAAAAAACATAAAAAAGAACTAAGTCGTCTATCAATAAAATGTTTATTTATTTCTAAAATACACTCATTGAGAATCTATTTCTTTGAAGGAATTTTCAAATATTTACATTCATGGCTCTCATTTAATCTATCATTAACTTCCATACAAAACATATGTGGATACAGTAATAATAATTTATGAAGATAATTTACCTTTGAAACTTTCTCCTTTGTAGCATAGTAAGAATTTTCACAAGCATGAGTAATAATAATAACATAAACCATTGTATTATTTATTGAAAAAAGTATTTCAGAGATCATTTCACTATATTAAGGTTAACTTATTATATGAGGTACTTGACAAAGAAGAAGAATTTAATAATAAAAAGAAAGCACCAAAAAAACACCTCCACTAGATGGCGACTGTAGCAAAAGTTGATTTTTGCAGGAAATGAATGAACCAAAGATTTTCATTCTTTTTAACTAACATATTAAAAAATTGAAATTTGTAAAGTTCGATATAATTTTTTTTTTCAATATAAATAAATTTCAAATAGAATATGAGTTGTTTATTGCGTTTGGAAAACTAATTTACTTTATACATGAAAGAAAACCGGAAGGGTTGTCATGGAGATATCAAGAACGTACCGTAGCAACATCTGGTTTAATTTCTTGAACTAATTTTTTTTTAATATACAGTCCAAGAAACTCTATGTGGTTAAACTGTTTGGTCTGCAATTAAACAGCTTCCACAAGGGTCAATCATAGTATTTTGTCAATCATTTATTATCGCTATATGCTTCAGAAGGCATATTAAGCCATTGCTCTCGGTTGCATATGGTTATAAGCCATCTCTATTAGATTCAGTGAAGGCCTGTGTACCAAGAAAAAACAGATACCAAATGTGAAATAAAATCTCACCTGGGGTGGTGTACCATCATATGATCAAGAGCAATTGGATCATCAATGCCATGTGTCTCTGGTACATATGTGGTTTCTGGTTCTCCATCATTACTTAAGGTGTTGAGGCCGGGTAAACCTGTATATTAACAATATAAATATATATTTTCTTTTTCTTTTAAATATTATGGTTTCCCTTTTAGATTTCACCATAATCCTGTATTTTGCTCAGTTTATTATCTTTCCTAATATACTCGTTTTATGTAAAGTGTAGTGAAAGTTCCATTTTTGATGTCTGGAACTAATTAATACCATGATATCTACCATTAATATATTGTTAGTGACCATGAAGATTTCCTTTCTCATCTGAAAGGGATTTTTTTTTTCTAAAGAGTAACCACTTTTTCCTTAGTTTTTATTTTATTAACAAATTTCTAATAATGTTTTCAAAATCCATGTATATTATTAAGAAAAACAAATAATTAAATTGAAAATAGTCTTTTATCTTTACACTCAGTTACTCTTAGACCCAAATTTTAAGTATCTAAAGATGTCCATTCCAATTCAGGAGTGTAGTAGACTACAAGAAGTGTACAATAGTAAAACTCTATTATCTGGAGACTAAGACTAACATTTATCAAGTACTGCTATCTCTGAATGCTGCTTTCAAGACATAATAACTAATCGAAGAACTAAAAGGCCTTTCTGCAATCAAACTTTAACTTGACAAACTAGCTTTTGTCTACAACATCTGATATACTGATGGCTGTATTAAAACTGATTCATTCATAAACACTGTTTTGATATGTTATAAAGAAACCTTGCATAGATGCCAATTACCATTATTATTCATAAGAATGAATTACTATGCCTCTGAATGTAAACTAACAGAAACATGATTCAGTAAACTAGCTCAATTGTGCTAAATTTATGACATGAGAAAAAACAGTAAAACAAGTTACAGCAAAAGCACACATTTTTTTTCATACCTTGAATAGATGTTTTAGTGCACTTAATGCAACTGTTGTTTTAAAATTAGGTATACAAACTAGTTAAACTTACCAATACAACAATTTATTACTAAAAATGTTATCAAGTATCCCAATTTGACAACGTCCGCCATTCTCTGTTCATCACTGTATAATTTTAGCTGGTAACTGTATAATTTTAATCACAATTTATTTCTTGAACAACAACACATCGTTGGTTTTCGTTATAATAATATTGCACTGCAGTTTAGTTTTGTAAAGAAATTTTACAACAAAAATACCAACATCGTGTGACGCCTTTGGTATTTTTTTCTATATCATAAAAACAACGGGATATATCCCAAACAGCCGATTTCCTCTTGTCAACAGAAAGATAGTACACACGTTTAAAACTTTACAAATGTATAATCTTATGGACTGACTCATTGACTTTAAAAGCACTTAATGCTAGGACTAGCTACACTTTGAACTATTCCGTTTCTGAACGAAAGTATGTTGGGAAACGCTAGGTGAACTTATGTTTTTAGAATATTAGTAATTTCAAAATATGTAACTATTAAAATATAATTGCAATGTATAAATATGTGTTTGTTAATTTAACAAAAGTCAATAAAATATCTATTCAAAATTTCATTACATACTACCTAAAAAAAAAAAGATAATATCCGAACGTTGTTTTTGAGTCAAATTCAAAAATAATCGGTTGATGGATTCTTTGGTTGTGTTGTGTTTTGTTTACTGTTGTAAAATAAAATTTATTAGCTGAAATACATATCAATTCTTTCCATTAAATGATTAATTAACGTTATTACTTCTCGAAATCTTAAAACTGCTTTTATATCTTATTAGTTGAACTGAAATTAATAAGCAAAAATGCCACGAACAAAGAAGCCTGTTCGAAAACAAGAAAAATCGGTTGAAGACAATGACACCTTGAAGAAATTAAATAAAATAGGTGCGTAGTTTGTCTTTTTGAATCTTCTCAGACTCAGCTTAATGATTAGCGTATTCAGTCTGCGATACGGAGGTTACGCCTTTCACAGGGATAGATTGAATGAGCAAAATTTTACTTTTACATACATTGATTAGATTCAAAGACGAGATGCTAAAGCACTCGTATTACGGATTATCTGAAACAACAACCAAGAACAAGATTAGAAAAGTTCCTTTTATATCTATTGGGAATCGAACCCGGCATCTTAGTGATGGCGACACCTTTAAACCGGTGTTCAACCATTCGGTGAGCACTATCTTGGTATCCTCCATGCTTAGGCACATGAAGACGTTAGTCCTAGCAGCATCTGCAGTCATCCCACCAAGTTACACTGGGCTAAGTGGTATATAAGGCCTGTTCTCCCAAAATGTTTATCTGACTGCTCATCTGAAGCAATTTTCAAGTGACATGATGATAACCAATCTGTTTCTATTCTGATATAAATTGTCAATTTTGACTTTTGCAGTTGCTGATCAAAAAAATAAAATTGATTCAAGAGCTTGTATGGAACTAATGAATATTGAGTTAGCATTTAAAATATTGCTGGGATCTATAAATAGCAATTATCTTCAGAAGACTGTTGGTCAATTGGTAAGTTAAAAGCATAGCAACAGAAGAGATGAGACAAAGAATGACATGAAAATAATGACCTCCATTCCCTAAACCACACACAACCCTATTCTTGGAACCAACCATGAACTCTTATAGCAATACTGCTGTTGTTTCATATACAGCTATCCAGCTTGTTTCATAGGTTAAACATTGCTATAAGAGATGATGGTAAACCCCCAGGTAAGACAAAAGCGGTCCTGCTTTGCTATTCTGTAAAAACAGTGTTGAATGCAATGTTGAGCACAATGCAGTTATAATCGAAAAAAGTTATAAACTCTATGATGCAACAGTCCTGCTTGACGCTGAGTTCGATGCTGATTTTAAGCTAAAGATGTGATAGATAAAAAAAATGTCTGAAGATTCAAAAGTGCTCATTGTATATTTTATTTTAATAAGGAGTATTTTGACTTTAACTGCAATATTTATTTAGCAGTGATAAGCATAGACATTGACATTTTTTGCCTTTAAAGTAAAGCCTTGTTAATTGATTTTATTACCTCTATTCTTTCGTGCAGGCTATTCTATATGAAATTTTCAAGCACTTATTACTTTTTGCTATTACAGAGTCTATTTTCATCAGTTTTTTGACAATCAACTCAAACAGCCGAAAGAAATATTTTTATAAATATTTAAACTTTCAAAAAAGATGAAAATTTGTTCCCATAGTAACCTGCAAAACCAAAATTGTTCATCAGAGCAGAAAAACTTTTATTTTTTTCGATAAATAATTCCTATAAACGTACTATGGACGTTTATAGGAATTATTTATTACAAATAAGGTTTATAGGAATTATTAATTACAAATAAGGTGTTCCTTTGTCAATTACAGCAATGTGAATGCATAATCAACATTAACCCAAAATAAAATTATTGTTATTGTAGAAAACAGAGCTTCATTTGAAGGAAGTCACCAGTGTGAGACAGACACGACATTCCAGCCGTTCAGCATCGCATGATGACGGTAAGACTTATTCTATATAAGAAAACTCCTCAGTTAATGTAATGTAATAGAAACAATTATTAGGAAATAAAAATAAATAAGTATTAGACAACATACTACTTTTTTGTTGAGTTTGTAAATTAAAGTTATCAAACTTAACAAAAAAAGTATGTCTTAATACCACAGAAACAAATATTCGTAACAAAATCATAGGTGAATATTGACTGGCATGGCACGTACGGACACAAGGTTGTTGCTAGCCGGGTAACCGGACACACGCAAGGTTGTTGTCTGGATGTGCTGCATGGCATAGGGGTAGGAGTAGGAGTAGCCCACCAAAGGAAACCGCTGAACTTGTCGAATTTTATTTAACAATTGCTATACTTGTTCATGTCAGACATGCTATACTGTAAATAGATTCTTTTGCGACTTCCAGAAAATGCCATTTCTCCTTGTATCCTATCGGCCAGTTGCACAAACGTCCATTGAGGTTGAATGATGCCTCTAAGCTTTAATGAATGTCAATTTTATATGGGTAGTGTTGTTTTAAACTAATGACAATTTCAATGGACGTTTGTGCAACATTGCTGTATTAACCAATCAACGTAAGGAATATTTTTCACTAAGTTCTCTTACTTTTGTATATATGTTCATAATTATTTTAGAGAATTTTTTAGAATGCAATTACACTTGGTTGTTAACCTGTATTCAATAGGGCTGTCGAATAACTTGCATACATCATGTTCCGACCTTCAAACGTTTGGACAGACCAATCAAGATTGCTCTGTTCAATCCTAGACGAGTTTTCATTGGTCCGTCTAACTCTCTAGACGAATTTTGATTGGACCGTCCAATGCTAGACGAATTCTTATTGGTCGGCCCAACGCTAATCGCCATAACACGATGTTCGGACAGTTACAGGCTGCAGGTGCTCAAATGACTGCTTGATTTCCGGGTACACAATGCATTTATTACACTGGAGTATTCCAGTAATGGTTTACTGTAATCAAATCAAAAATTAAGTTAATATAAATGACACAAAACTAGCTACCCACATTAAAATTAAAACAGTGTATTGCTGTTTCATTTAATAGTACTTTCTGATTTTAAGAGTATAGAATATTTTTAATAAGACTTTAATGCCTAATATAAAGGTGTTATTCATTTATTATGTAAGACGATTTTTGCTCCCTCTCTGTGTAAAAACATGAATTGACTAGACCCCTCCCCACTATTTTATAGAAAAGAAGCAACTATCAACTAATTGACTTTGCTGATTTTTGTTGTATCTAATATAGTTAATTCTTAACTATGGCCCTCCCTTGTATGAAAACGTAAGGTATTGGCGAAACACTTCTCCTTAAATGATTTTACGTGTCTTCTTCTTCTTCTATCGACCGGCGTCTCCGCAAGTCGACGTTAAAATTGCGCCTATGCGAGGGTGTGTGGCTAGGGGTTATTACAGCCATCCCAGCGCTGCCAGAAACGTCCCCAGCGCCTTCACGGCTGTTTCTTCCGCCTCCATGCATCCTCTGTACGGGGCTGTACTTGACACTTAAATTAAAAAGGTGCCTGTTATACCAGCAATTATAGCACCTTTGGAGAGGCGAGCGTTCACTCGGGGTAGTGCTAATTTGGCCTGCCTGCAGGTATCCAAAGAGTGTCAGTATTGTTGATGTAGTTTCCTCGAGTGTTGACATATCTTACCAATTAGGCAGCTTCCCAGTATGGAAATGATAGGCTCGGGGCCCGTTGGTGTTGCGTATGATCCTCTACGTACCAGTTCATCAGCTATATCATTTCCTCGTGATCCATTGTGTCCTTTTAACCATTTGATAGTAGTTATATTGCAGAGTTCGTAATTATCAAGATGTTTTTTTTTTTATAATTATCCGATATATATCTGATAATTATCAGTCGCTGGCAATATTTTTTTTTTAAATACAGACATGCATTAATACTTGAATAAACTTTTATTTTTGTTGTTTTAAATTATACAAACAAAAAAAAAAAAAACTTGAAATCACATTGAACAAAACGTAACATTAAAAAGGGGGATTTTTATTTTTTTTATTTTGCCGATCTATCCTAGTTAATTTTCTCTATCACAAAAACCATATTTGACAGTTCTATAAAGATGATTCCTATTTAATAACAAGTCCTTATGTCCAAAAATAGTTTTTGTTGTGTTTTATAATCATCAATGACAATTTTCAATCCGAACCCTGTTATATTGTTTCCCTAGCATGTTTGCAACCTGGTAATACTTCTATAGAAGACTCGATTCAACAGAACTCTCTTTAAGAGCCCGTAGGACAATTATCTTACGTAATAATAAATGCATTGATGTCAAATGAAGAAATATTTTTTGAAGATGATAATTTACTTAAATTTCATATACAATAGGCTTGTGTCCGACAGGTTTCTGTTATACGTTCGGAAAATATGAATCATTTGAACTTATAAATAATTAACAAAATCAATTTTATAACACTTATTTAAAAAATATTACGCTTTAAAAACTTGAAAATGTAGGGAAAATACATTACCAAAATTATGACATTAAATTAGTTACATAAACCGTAACAACTTTCATTATTACAGGTACAAACATAAATGCACAAATAACAAAGATATTACAAAGATTTCCCAGACGTCCATACATTTTTCGCTACCATAGTACTGTGTGACGTCAATTAGTGCCTTGAATTTGTAGGGATTGTTTTCGGTCGACCAGCAGCAGTTCCACAAACATAGCACCGTATCTCCGAATCTATTAACTGTAGACTTGCTGTTACTTCAACATTAATTCTCAGATATTAATGCGTTATTTACTTATATAATAAAAGAAAATTTGACAACTAGCCTATAAGGCTAAGCAACATATTAGTAATGACCGAGTGTAAGATAATTGTAACGCAACCATGTAATCATTATAAATATTGTACTAACATATCATCACCACAATTTTCCACTAACTGGGCGCTTTGTGGGGCAGGCTACCTCACGGAGAACTCCTCACAAGGCTCCGGGGGCCGCAACAACAAGAAGTATCTGGGTACGTAAAGCTTCAAGTGCTCGACGCCTTAGCCTCTTACTTTTGACTATATTAATGAACTCATTTCTTTTCTTGTATTGAATTCATTTCATTTTAGTGAGTTTCTTACACTTTTTCTCTTCTCTTGGAGATATTTAACACCGATACAGTAACACCCGGTTGCTGAATCGAGAATTTAAAATTAAAAACATCTCAAACTGTACTTAAACGCCACTTGAATAGGTTTTTTTCCGATTTTAGTTTTTTAATAATCAGTAAATAGTAGTTTGATAGAACTAGGACTTTTAGACTTGTGAAAGGTATAAAACTTTATTTATCAGTTAAGATTTTGTACACTTATCTCAATTCAGAAACCGGCCGTAAGTTACACACTTAATGTCAATTATATATTAAAATTAAAATTATTTTACCGATTAGTAAAGATTTATTTATGATGATAACTACTCGAATGCGTTTTGGACCCTAAAGTAACGCTTTGCTACACTACCTCAATGTGATTCAGACTCAATGACGGTTTGCTACGTTTCGTTTCATGCAATGCGAAACACATCGAACAAGTCAAAGTGCACATTAACAATTACATTTAGATTTAAGGTCATATTTTCAAGTCATTCATTTTTAAAGTAGCTTCACAATTATCTCGAGTTTTGACAGATGCATACAACCTCAAAACATTATTTACAAATTACGAATCTCCCTGGCCTCCGATGAAAAGATATTATTATATTTTAAACGAAAACTAATTTAAAATATCACTTAAGTCACTTTACAAAAAAACGTGACAGGTGAATCAATGTATGTATTGTGGGCATTGATTCGTTTTCTTGTATGTAGTAAATAGAAATATGAATTATTAAACGGATTGGTTGATCCAAACCAAAATATTTATATCCTTAATTTACTGAAAAACAAAAACTAAAGGTGTAAATGTTACTTATTGTTCCTAACCACGTTAATATGTATTATTTAGCTGTCCCGCCGGCAACAGGTCGGTCGACAAGTCGTCGGTCGCGGTCGGCGAACGCGTCGACGCGTAAACCACCACCCGCGGGGCGTACAGCCACCACGCAGCGCCGCCGCTCGCGCTCCGTTTACCGAACGCCCGCGTACAACAAGAACGGCGCCGTCAACTATCCCGCCATCACACCCAAAGTGAGTCTTCCCTTTGTATTAACTTAAATTACTTTGTATTAAACTTAGTCATATTTGCAACTAAAATTGTTTTCAAATACACTATATTGTTTAACTTCATAACGTAGATATTGTCTTTAAAAAAAATGTCGCGATCGTAATAGCTATAAAATGAAAAGTTCGTGAATATTGCAAATGTCAAATTGAAAGGGAGTATTAATTGTTATAGATCGTATATGTTATAAGTCGTAATAGTTATAGAGATAAAAGACAATAATAAAATAATGAAATCGAAAGACTAATGTCTCTTGGCAATAAAAATGAAACAACTCATAAATTTCGTTACTTAGGTGACTCCGCATACACCGCTTACAGTGCTGAGGCAGCCGCGTCAAGGAGAAATGGTCGTATCAATGTCTGGATCGCCCGTTATGGTACCCACGTGCTACACGTAAGTTGGAAACATTCTAAAACACATATTTACACCGATATTTTATTTAACCATCGACATCAGTTTCGTCATGTAAATTAAATTAGTTGCGTGAATAGGCTTGTGTCCTACAAGTGAAAATACAGGATTTTGTTATATCGTCGAAAAATATGAACCATTTTTACTTATAAATGTTTAACAAAACAAATTTTAAGTCACTGATTTGGAAAATATTACACTTTGAAAACTTGAAAAAAGTAGAGATAAAATCTACAACAAAAATTTGCTAAAATACATAAGGTATTAAATTAGATATAAAAAATGTTACAACTTTAATTATAACAGCTATAAACATAAACGCACAAATAACAAAGATATTACAAAAATTGACCAGACGCCCATACATTTTTCGCTACTGTAGCACCGTGTGACGTCACTGAGTGCCTTGAATTTGTAGGGAGCGTTTTCGGCCAACTAGCAGCAGCTCTACAAACACAGCATCGTATCTCCGAAACTATTAATCGCAGACATGCTGTTACTTCGACATTATTTCTCAGATGTTAATGGACTATTTATTTATGCAATTAAAAAAAAGTTGCCATCTAGCCTATTAGTTTGATCTAAAATATGCGCATGAAACTACTTTTTTTTTACTTTTGTTTTTGTTAAAACTAGAGTCATGCAACTACTTTTGTAGCGTCAAATGTGCTTTAGTTTTGTATAATTAAGATTTGATTATTTCCCCATCAGAATGCAACCAGAGGAAAAAGCCAACTGCAACATCCTCCTTCAAGATGGCACCATGCTGTCTTTACAACCGAAGCAACTTCGAGAATCTCAAGCGTACATACCATTCTCATTGATGGATTCTAATGTTCTACGTCAGCTGAAGACTTTAAAAGACAACCTGGACAAAGTGGTCACGTTGGGAGAGAGACAAATGAAATGATTATGATGACAAGTTTCTTCATAGAGAGATTATGAGACTTATAATTCAATGTATAAGGTTACGAATTAATTGTCTTGGAATATTGATTTCTGCAGATTGACATATTACATGAGTGATGACAGTACTCTCAAGTTTGAATTGAGTGTGTTATAGCATAAAAGCCAAACATTTGCTTTCCCTCAGGTAAAAAAAGACAGAAAATGGCAGTGCCCTGTCAGATTCTCGCTATTTGGGCAGTTAACTTGTAAATGGAATATAGAAACACGATTAAATGGTTTATTTTTAGCTATATTTTATATTGGTTTATTGTTTATTTGGTTTATTTTTAGCTATGTGTCAGTTAGAAAGATTCAAATTGATTGCCTAGACATTGATGGAAAAAGTGTGCATTGACAACAAAATTCATTGGAAAGTAGCTCAACTGGTTAGGTCAGGGAATCATTATTTGCGACACTCAACTAGAAAATTACTAAAAGGCAGCATCGACCTTCAAATTAATTTAGAAAAAATGTGCACCAATTTTAAGGTACCGTACTCAAAGGATAAAAACAAGACACTATTATTAAGAATGCGCTGTCTGTTTGACTGTCACGAATTCGTATCCCATGAAACTTGATATAACGTGAAAACTAAAAATAACGTGATTTATAACGTTTTTTATAGATAATGCTAAAGAACTTCCTGCGCAGTTTAGATTCTGCCGTGCGATTCTGTAAAAATCCAAACTCGATTTCGAATTCACTCAGGTGTCTGAATACACATCAAAAAGCGGAATCCACTCAATCTTGAATTGGTGATAACGTTTCGTGAAATAAGTGAAGTGAGTTTCGAAATGATATTGGAATCGAATATCTGAGACACGTATATTCAAAAAATTTTGTTTTGTATTTTTATACAAAAAATGGAATCAATAGAATTTCTACATTATTCAGTGTGGATTCCGACACATGAGTGAATTCGAATTCCGGTCTTGATCTTTACAGATTGCAGGGCTGCTGGTCACTTTTTTTTATTAAGAGGGCCCGTTGTAAAATTGTTTAATTTCCTAGTGATCCTAGTGAGAAATGGTAGGAAAACTGCCGTCGCTCGATTAGCGCATTCGCCTGGAATGCGATGGGTTACTTTTCTTAAAGTATATTTCAAGATGACTTACTTTATCACCGTTTTGTTATCACTCGATTCAAACTGAGCAGATGCTATGTGTTGTTCAAAGTAATCATATCACGTAAGCGTATGTGTGAGTGTATGTTTTATAATTACAATTTTTGATGTTATGGCTGATATTATGTATAGTGATGTGACTATTATGTTATTACAATTAAATGGTTTTTGACTACAAAACAAGGTGATTTTATTAGTTTAGAATGTCTGTGTGTTTACAATAGGGCTTATAATGCTAAGGTAAAAAAATAAATTATAATTAGTCTGTCAGTCAGATAGAGAAATATTAGATGCGTATTTTTTTTTTGTTTCAAATTAACACGAATTGGCTAAGATAATATGCATAGGAGTTGACTATATAGTATAATCTTATACATAATGAGTGTATTGAATAAAAACTATAACCAAAATGGCAAAACCTGTTAGGAAAATGTTTCGTTTGCGAACATGGTTAGAAAATTTCAACTCAACATATCGCCGTTATTTATTGTATGTGTTGAAATATTCTTAAACAATATATTTGATGGGCAATTAGTCATCACACGTGCTATAACATGATTTTAGCAATTATCAATACGCTAAGTAACAATTCTTTGTATGTGAATGACCAAATGATATTAATCTACATAAAAAAAAAACACTTGATGGCGCTATCTATCAAGTGTCATACACTAATTTAACAATAAAATAATAAATACTCTCACATGCTATAATTTATTAATTACACCACACTACAAAACTATTTACACAAATCACACTCTTCGATTTCCATTATTGCTCAATATAACATGTTTTTTTCTCGACTATAAAGTCCAATTATTCAATTAATTGACATATGGCTTTTATTAAACCAAAGTTGGCATTTATTTGGCTATAATTAATTATAGGATTGAAGAGCCACTTCATATTTTGTCCATTATTTTGATCAAACTTGTTGAAAAAAAAAATTAAAGTAATTACCCGATAAATGGTCATGGTATTTCAGACCTCAAATTAATTCTGAGCCTTAAAGTATCAGTTTTTATGGTCAAATTTGATTACAGAAATTTTGCTTATTTCAAGTTGATACAACTATCTTATAGGGCACAAAAGCTACAAATTAGCTTTCTCACATCTAGTTCTATTGTATTAATATCTTTAAGGTGCTAAATCCTTTGAACCGTTTACATGTAACCGTTCTTGCCAAGTATTTGCTCCACTTCCTTGACATATTTCTCTGGAATCTTCTGTTGTCTCATCGCTGACACCTATGTCGAAAAATTTGATTAGTTAATTATTGTCGTCATTTATCGCCCACATTCCACACATATAACTTCGTACTACACTAATTCGAAATTATCAATAGGTATAATACAAAATTATAAAAAAGGTTCTCAGAATGTTAATTATTAATGAAGTTATCATAAATATTTTTATCAATATCATAAATATATTTTTTCGAACGCCACTTAAGTGCCGCTTCTTTATACGTAGTATTATATTATCTTTTGTTGTGACATCACAAGTGTGGATACTCACCTTCTGCTTGATGACCTTCCGCTCATACTTGTCCTGTTGCTCCAGTTCCATGCGCAACGCTACACCCTCGTTGTGGATTTTCTCACGGAGCTCAGCCCTAGACAAAGATTGAATCTATAGGTATTATAGTATGAAAGAAAAACTCTTCCCGTTGTCTGGATGCTGAGAATTTTAAACTACACAACGGATTATAATGCGCTTCTCATCCATATACAAAGTTATTTAAGAGGTAAGTTTATATGTATAATACAGGACCACGCGCGGGCGAAGCCGCTGGCGGAAAGCTCGTAATAAATAAATAGATGCTCGATGATGCAGTGGTTAGCTTTCGGATGATAAGTAACTTTCGCAAAGGTTTACCGCTTACGAAAAGAGGCAAAAGAGTTACAGTACCATATTTTTGGTAAATAATCACCCGCGTTTCTTAGATATAGACGTAGAAAATTAATAAAAATAAATTTATGTGTAAGTCATGTTTATTTTGTTAATAATACCTGCTAATGCAGACGTTTGATGGTTTATATTTGGTAATGACTCATTGTGAATGTACCGGATCTAATAGGTTTATTTTCTTTTGCATATACAGCATTCGTAGTTCCAAGAAACCACTTGGAGAAAAAATCCCAGTAGTCCTTTATTATCATTTGACTGTTAGTACGTACCTGGCTCGTTCCTTGTCATTTATCTGCTTCATGATCTCTTGCCGGTGACGTTCGACGCGCGCCTTTCGTTTTTCATCCAACTGGAATCATCATTAATGACAAAGATATTTTTTTTTACATTTTTGTTGTTAACTGACCAAGGTGTCTGACTGGTCAGAGTGTAGGTAGTTAAAAACAAGGTTTTTTGAAAAATATAAGAAAACCAGGACGTTGCCTAAAAACTGTCAAAAACAAGTCTATTGAGAAAACACGGCCTTTTTTATATCGTAGGGGAATGCATTGTCCCCGCCGCTTGATTGGTGGCAGGGGGAGCGTGTAACTTTTCATCCACATGGACCCGCCCCAAGACTTGGCAAACCTTTTTTTACACCGAAAAGAACTGACCTTAACATTTTATCGACTAGGACGACGACGGTCTTAACCGGGGCTCTCCATTTGCAAGGGACGACGGTCCAGTGCTGTTGGCCTACCTGACAAAAACCACCCTTATACCCTCTGACGTGGTCCGCGCCCGGTATCTGGCAAGGAAATCCAAGATAAAGCTTGGCAACCCTAGCTAACAGATGGCACTCACCGCTTTCTCCTTCTGTATGAACTCTTCGTTTTGACGCGCTGCGTTGTTGAAACTCTGCTCGTCTTTAGCGATCTCCCGTGCGATCAGACGGTGAATATCGTGAATCTGTGAATTAAAAACATCAGCTATCTATTTTCACAGCAAATCAGCTTTCAGTGCATCAAAAAGCGTTCAAGGCGCGCGAGTCGAGTTAAACGTGCATAGAAATTAAATGTTACTTATGGTCTTTTATCGAATACTGTAACAGTTACAATTGTTATACTTAGAAACTGTCTTGTTTTTCATATCATGATTTTCCTAATAGCGACTAAGCAGGTAAAAAGTTTCACAAACATGTATTTAATAAATAAATTTTTAAGAATCCATATTATTCATAGCAGGTCACTCACTACAACTTCGTTTTAAAACAAAATAATCTATATTTATTAACTTAGTTACAGCTCGTCACAGTTATTATTTTTTTTATTTCAAACTTGTTGAAATTACTGTATTTGTATTCCGCTGTACTTCCTTATCACGTAAAAAAGTCACTGTATATGATAAATTACCCACACATACCACCGCGCGCACAGATGAGTTGGACAAGGTATCCAACAATTTTTAGTGTTATAGATTAGTACATAACCCAGTTAAGATGTTCCTTCGACCTATATACTTACCTGTTGTACTCTAGCTTCGTGCAGTTGTTTCATCTCCTTGTTCCTTCTGATGGCGGCGTCTCTCTCTTTTCGTCGGTATTCTCTTTCCACGTCCTCTTGGATCTTCAAGTTGCGAATCCTGTCGAGCTCTTCTTTCAACTCTTGCTCTGCCTGGATGCCATGAAAATTGAACATTAGAGTATTCCGTTGATAGAAGTAAAATATTCTTTTAAACAAGGTACACTTAGAGATGATAATTTTTTTTATACGGTTCGTAAGCCACCCGACCACAAAGAGAGAGATTAAAAGACATCACCATCTCCTAATTTGTTGTTATTTTGTTTTAGGTTAGAGCGCAGTGTGTTCGCTTCTTCTCTACCATCTGTTAGTATCACAGGTGTCGACTGATCATTGACTTCCTCACTCTTCACAGTTTACAATTCATTTCTATTGCTCTCGATTCATCAACTTTCCTAACTCATAAAAACATAACTGGCTACACCACCAACAAGATACCTTTAAATGAGCAACAACAGCTTTGGAATGAGGCATTGAAATAAATGAACTCTGAAAAGGACTATTTCGATCCCTAAACATATTAACAGCGTAATCCCATGTGTTTTATAGAATCTGGCGTCGAAATAGACTCTTCAGAGTTCACTTATATGTAATAAAATCTTTCCAAAACTGGTTGGTGGTGTAACAAACTCATTTAATGACGTCAGACGTCATGAAATGTTTATATAGCGAGTTGACCTTCTGAGCCTTGGCGATGTGGTCGATCCCTTTCTGCTTGGCGGCCTTGACGGCGTCGGCGTCGGCGCGGTTGCGCGCCTCGCGCTCTTGTCGCTGCTTCAGGAAGTTGGCGATCCTCAGGTCCATGATGCGCTCCTCCTCCATCTGCAGCTGCTTGTAGTACAGCAGCTCCGCGTTACCTGGACCACCATACCAGGATGATCAATATTAGCAGTACCCGGTCTAGGAAGTATTGCCCAGAGCGGCAAAAACAGAACAATATCACTTCCTTGAAATTGCTAAGGCAGAATATTCCTTTTACCTGAAAAGACTGAATATCTAACTGAATCGTCCCATATGTGGTCATACGTAAGTAGGCATATTTCAAAATAATAATAATCATCCCTATTATATACCTACCCTGATCGAGAATTTCCTTCAGTTTGGCCTGTCTTGCGTGTTTTTCTTTCAGCTTCTGCGCCTCATCTATCTGCATCGCTATGTTGGCCTGGTTCACGCGTATACTCTCCTCCTCGATACGCTCTGCTTCCATAATCTGGTGATTTAACACAATAAATAAGATTCACATACGATGACTGGGATTGGACCTAATACAAATCCGAAAAGTCATTTATACATTCATTAATTTTATCAGATATTGTAGAAATATTATTGAAAAATTTACGTTATAAAAATCGAGATCTATCGAACTCGTAGTCATAGCTTACCAATTTCACCAAAGAAATTTTAGATTGGCCGATACTCCGATAGTCTGATGTGATAGATTATTATCTTTCTTATCATCAATATAAGTAAAACAAGTCTTATATGAGTGGTAGGCCAGAAGACCCGGTTTTTGCCACTGCCCATAGGCAAACATATTATCCATTTTTGGTCAATCAGAACTTCAAGGCGTTCTAACTAGAGGATAGGCAAACATAGTATACTATGAAGGTATTTCAAAACGTTGTAAGGATGCTACCAAGTTGAATAATGATAATTTTAAATTTTCGAAGGCAGGCAGGTTCTTACCTTTGCGGTTTCATGTGCCTTGATCTGTTCCTTGAGTGCGGCAAGGTTCTGCAGCCTCAACTGGTGCCGTCTATCCTCCTCGTTATCTGCACGTTGCACCGCCGCCTGACGATTCTCCTCCATTATTGCGTCCAGTCTAAACCATCAAATATTTACCAGTATTTTACACAACAAACAATGACGCAAGCGGGCTTTGAATGCCGAATGGGAAAGCGCCTTCAATATCTTACTTATATTGACGCATTTTGGCATTGTTTCAATCACAGAACATAGAGAGAGATAGAAGTATAATGATATTAATTTAGTATGGGAACCGAGTGTCGCCTCTCCGCACACAAATGCAGATTAGATGAAATAATCATTTTGTTCACTACATGAAAAACCGCCACGCGATACGTTCGCGATAACATAAACAAAATTCCAAAAAGATACTAAGCTAAAAAATCACACGATTAAAAACAAACTCTAATTTAACGTGATAATAAATAATTTACTTTAACATGAATGTTAAACTGTCACGTGACTGTCCAGCTTGTATACGGGGATACCAAAAGGGAAAAAATATTTTAAGATGATGCACATTTTAAAAAATTGGGGACGTCATTTTATGTGCGAACTATTAAGATTAGATTTTGCTGTAACCAAGTGAATAGTGAAAAATAACGCTTTTCCCTATATAATTTAATAAAATATCTGATAAAAAAACGCAGTACAAAAACTAAGAAAACTTAATGATAAACTCTATCATTTTATCAATAAGACTCTCTGTGTGAAATAAAACAGGGAGAAAAAAAACAGCCCTTGCTGAGTTTCTTGCCGATTCTTCTCAATACAAGGTCTCCCGTTGTAGTTTTGCGAACCGATGGCGTAGTTTTCGACTTTCACAAGTGCTCTGTAAAAGCCTAAACTAAATAAATAAGTTTTGATTTTGATTTTGATCATATGTCTGTGGAGTAATATAATTAGGCGAGGGAAAGTGTAAAAAAAAAAACAAAAATAAGAAAACAATAGATTTTTTGTATTAATCACATTAAGCCTAATTTTTTTTTCTTACTGGTATCATTCCGATTGTGCATATTAGTGATGGGACATAATATTAGTTGATAAAATAAGAGCTTTAAATTTTGTTATTAAACAGTTAAATGTAATTCAGTTCCACAATGTTCTACAGTGGTTTGATAGTAATAATATAAAGCTTAATTCAAATAAAACGAAATGCATAAAGTTTGCATTACCTAATGTGGGGAATGTTAATACACTTATAAATTTAAATAGTGAAAAAGTTGAGTTGGTGGAATCGACCAAACTTCCTTAGTTTTACACTAGATTCCCGACTGCAATAGGATCCTCATACTGATAATTTGTCAAGTAGACTGAGTTCTGCAGCATTTGCTGTTAAGAAAATTAGACTCTTGACAAATGATGAAACGGCAAGATTGGTATATTTTAGTTATTTTCATAGTGTAATGACGTATGGTCTATTGTTGTGGGGTTCTGCGGCTAGCATTCAAGATATTTTTATTGTACAAAAGAGAGCTGTCCGCGCTATATATAATTTACGGTCTAGAGAATCTCTCAGAGAAATATTAAAAAAAAAAATTATTTTGACTGTTGCCTCTCAATACATCTATGAAAATATGAGTACGCAAGAAAACATTACGATTCCTTCACAAAAAAAAGTAGTGTTCATAATCTTAACACAAGAAATAAAAATAAACTTGCCGTTCCAAGCTTCAGACTTCAGAAAACCAGAGAATAATTTCTGGTAAATGCATTGCTATGTTCAATAAAGTTCCACAAAATGTAGTTAACCTATCCATAAATAAATTTAAAATTCATGTAAAGAATATACTTATGAGTAAAAGCTATTATAAAGTTGATGATTATTTTAAGGATCGCAATGCATGGAATTAATAGCCTTCGCTTTGTTCTATAAAGACTAATTATATGTTCAACCTATGTCCTACAGACTTTGGAAGTTTATTTATTATTGTGATTTGATATGAAATGACATGATTTATGTAAATGTTATTACTTATGACAAAGAGCTGGTAAGTTTCTTTCGCTTGTTCTTCTTGTCAGCTAAAAGACGTCCTGAACAAGTGGTAGGGGAAAAAATTTTTTTGGACGAATCAAAAGTGCTTGTAATAAAGATATTTTCATTTCTTTATTACAAGCACTTATTATTTATAGCACATCAGATTTTTTAATATCTATCTGCGTGTAATTAATTAACTGAATCTTCGTAAAAAAAGTGCCTGGATAGTTCATTATTTCATTTGTTCAGTATAAGTTCATCTATTATTTTCTCTTGTAAACAGTATTATTTAGTTTTATATAATTATGGCATATACTTATCCATAACGTTGTTATGAAATGATGAAAGAAAAGCTCTAAATAAATTGTTTTAGTTATCGATTACGATCCATATAATTAACAATAGATTCCGAGCAGCAGCAGCCTATCGGTACATTTCAGACAAATGGAGGCACAGCACTATTTTTTGCAAAAGTGCACAAAATGATTTACATTGCTGTCTAGTAATGGGGTCAGAAACATTGATGTTGGTTTGAGCAATCAATGTATATTTTATTTGACATTGTGTCAAATTATTACGTTTTTTATATTTTAGCACTAAAATTGTATTTACCAGTGAAAGGAAATGTTTGCATTAGTTAGATTGTATACTTTGCTTTGCTTTTTGCAAGTGATAATAGCACAAAACGGTATTTTTTATAGAAAAAATCTGTAAAATCACCACTCGACGATTGACGAACGACTGGCAAACGTAAAACCGAGGAAAGGGCGTCATATGAGTAAAAGCGCATATGCCAGCCACGCTTGCCCCGCCCACTTACTACTTCTAATCTCTCTCTATGTTCTGTGGTTTCAATGCAGGAAATACTCGCAGTCGGTGTAAAGACTGCGCTATTAACTTTTATATGCTATGGCTATATTGATCAATGGGAGTCGACAAATGAACGATCAACCGATGACCGATCAACGGAAATGAACCACAGAAATCGGCAATGTAGTAGAATCATTAGTTGTTCCGACTTCGAGGTATCCTATGTGATAAAATTATATAATAATATATGAATAAATAACTATTAAACAACATCACAAACATTGCTCAAGATAAGTTAACTAAAAGCACTTCTATCATAGATATCTGAAACAACGAAGGTACATAACACCCAGACCCTAGACATAATTGAGAAAAGTTCATTTTCTATATCGATTCGACTGGGAATCGAATCCGAGATCTTAAAGATGGCAACACCTTGAAACCGGCGTGCGAGTCAATTGACTATGGAAGTCGTGATTAATTTAAATGTTAAGATCTCAAAGATGGCGAAACCTTAAAACTGGCGTGCGAGTCAATTAGCTACGGAGGTCGTTATTAATGTAAATGAGTCTCAATTAATTTATTAATATCTGACCGTCGCTGCTCCTCATCTAGCTCCTTCTTGATGAGCTCTTTTTCGGCGATCTGTGCGTCTCGTATGGCATGGCATTTCGACGCGAGGATGATGCGGTTGCACAACCGAGGGCCCTGCATATTGTCCGCGCGGAGTACTAAAAAGCGTAATTAAAGAAATTTAACAGTTGAAGAGGTGGCTGGCGTCGGGGCACAGAATGTAGTGGTTAGCCTGTTCGACCTGCGATGTGAAAGAGCAGGGACCTAATTTCCTTTAAAAATCTATCGCAATTCCTTACAATGTGACATTTGAAAGATATTGACGAACTTCACGCTACAACTATTTGACTATTGACAACGATTGCGATCGCAACGTTCTTTATAAGGTATTAAACGAACGATATCGTTTATTGTATAAACAAAGCGAAAAATGTTTGAAAGCTAGTGAGAAATGTCACACGAAAGAGTTGAATGTTGAATGCAAACTTCAAACTTTTGACAGCTTAAACTAAGTTTTTATTATCTTGTATTTACCTATATCTTGATCATTCAGTCATCATTCGTTCCAAAAGCGAATCACCACACCTTTGGATTTCAAAATTAGACAATCTGTTCACTTTTCATAGGATTATGACCAAAAATTTATTATCACGAGCTCCTCCATGCTTCAGAAGTCAGGTGAAATAGTTGGTCCCGGCTGCATCTGGAGTCGTTAACACCCAGCAGTCTGCACGGCTCATACACTGCTTATTATCCATATTTCCCCCACACGCTAATAGGCTGGCAATGATGAAACACCTTAAACTACGCATAAAGACGAGACGAAATCAATAGACCATTTAGAGAATGATATCTAATAAATAAATGTATTGCGTGAAAAATCATGTTCAAAAAGACAAAAGAGAATCAAGTTGCCGAAAAGTCTCACCTGAATCCAAAGTAAGTTACTTAAATTCGTAACCGTTTTAGGAATAAGTGACTGCTTTTTTTATTTTACAAATGATTGTTTCATTAATATCTAAGAATTAATGTAGAAGTAACACCATGTCTGCGAATATAGTTTCGGAGATACAGGGCTATGTTTATGCAACTGCTACAAGTCAGTTGAAAATGCTCTCTACAAATTCAAGCCACGAAATGACGTCACTAAACGGAGTAGCGAAAAACGTATGAGCACTATTTGTTATTTGTGCGTTTATGTTTATATTTATGATAATGAAAGTTATTTACATTTTATGTAACTAATTTAATGCCAAATGTATTTTAGTAATTTCTTGTAAGATATTTTCCCTAATTTTGTCAAGTTTTCAAAGCATTATATTTCCCAAATTAGTGTTATAATTTTTTTTTGCTAACCGTTTATAAATTAAAATGTTTCGTATTATCCGAACACATATATTTTCACTTGTAGAACATATCACTTTTGTGAAAAATACATTTCACCAATGACTAGAAATCACTTAATGACATTAAGCAATGTCTAAAGTCATGATATGCGTTATGCGGCACTTAGTATTAGGTGCTTCCTTGTTAAGACAGATCACAAATATTACAAGGAATAAAAGAAAAAATGTTTATTTGGAATTAAACTAATCTGCTTATGCGATTCGTAAGATTAGGCGTTTTCTAGTTAAGCTATGCCTTGTTCTAGGTTAGTAAAACGGGTGTAAGGTGTTGACTGTCTTTTTAATTAAGAGTATTAGCTACCTTTATATTAAATTGAATAAACATTTCCATAAATTATTTATAAAAAGAAATTATCCCTTGGCTATATATTTATAACCTATCGTATAAGTACAAAATAAATAAATATTAAACAACATCACATACATTGCTCAGATTCCAAGATGAGTAGTTAAAGCCTAAAGCCAGCTATTATGGAGTATCTGAGACAACGAAGATCTCACAACACCCAGACCCGAGACAATATAGAAAAGTTCATTTTCTACATTAACCCGACCGGGAATCGAACCCGGGACCTCAGAGATTTTTTTTTATTTTTTTTTATGGGATAGGTGCAGACGGGCAGACGGATCACCTTATGGTAAGTGATTACCGTTGCCCATGGACACCTGCAACACCAGAGGGGCTACAAGTGCGCTGCCGGCCTTGGAGGGAAGGGAATAGGGAAGGGTTGGGCCTCCGGTACCCTCACTCACACGACGAAACACAACGCAAGCGTTGCTTCACGTCGGTTTTCTGTGAGGCCGTGGTATCACTCCGGTCGAGCCGGCCCATTCATACCGAAGCGTGGCTTGAAACCGGCGCGCGAACCACTCGGCTACGGAGGTCATAATTTTGTTAGGAGGTTCCTAGTCAATGGTGAAATGCATTTTTACCTTAGGTGATACCTAAATATATAGGCGACCGATTTGGGTGACTCCTAAATTTAGTGAAAACAGGCATAAAGCTAAACGTCAATAAAACTAAATACAAACGCGATGTAATCATTTAAAAGTTGATTCATTTATTATTGGATTTTTTTAACCTGGTTTTGTTAACTTACTTTCAGCTCGAGACATAGTGTGAGCAGCCTGGTCTGGTCCCTCGAGCTCCGGATCCGCTGTGCCTGTAGCCGTCTCAGCTCCCGGTTGCTCTTGCAAATTCTCCTTCAGCATACGTTTCCGCATTTCCGATTCCTTCGCTGCTTTCTGAATCGCAGCCTCTTGCGCATGCATCGCCTGTAGTTGTTCCTCTTGCGTCACGATCTGGATAAATTAAATTAACATTTACAAAGCAAATGTCATCTACACATCAGCAAACTGAATTGAAACTGAATGAACCTTATCTGTCAACGAGGCGACAACTGCGACCGCGAGTCAACAAGTCGATGATTTTAGATGGTTATCATAACGAGGTTTGATTTACCTTTTTAAGTTTATTAGCAAATATTCTGTATCAGTCACCTTGGCCTGTTTCTTCAACCGTTGAAACTCCGCTTTGTGCATAACAGCTGGGTACACATTGGGTATGGTCTTCGGTACCAGGAGTTTCCTCCAGCCTCCGATCTGAGGCACCATGGTGAATTCGTGTTTCGGCTCCTCGCATTTGTGGATAAGCCGCTTGGTCGCTGGAAATTTGAGGCGGCAGTCTGATGGCCTGAAATAAATAATATCTTTTTGGAATAAGCTTAAAAAGCGCTTCCGAATCGTCTAATATTCTCGTGCATACAACAGCACATCAGGGTATGATAAAAACAAAATTTCTGCAATCAATTTTAAACTTAACTATCAACTATTAAAGCTTAAAATCGATTGCACATACCGTTAGTAGAAACTGACCCTTGGTGTCGACTGTACATTTCTAACCTCTTTCTATAGTTCCTAATATAAGTTTATTCGTTATCTTAATATTTGTGCCTTCTCTTACTAAGAAAGAAAAAGCGAACAAAGGTCCGTGGTGCAAAAGATAGGGAGCGCAAATCATATCCACGGCATCGTATTATGAGCGCTCGAAAGCAAAATTACCGATGTATTACAAGCAATCTTCATAATAAAAAATGTTTAAAAAATCTGCCAGCCCAAGGTACCACGAGGTGGGACTGGAACCCACGACCTTTCGCAATCTGGGCGACTGCTCTAACCACCTTACCTTAACCACCCGAGACCCAATGGTATTAACGAATTTTTCAAGCGCATGTTACTTTTGCTACTAGTGAGCGTATTTTCATCAATGTTAAGGCAATCCACCCGAACAGCCAAAAGAAATATTATTACAAATAATTTAAACTTACATTAAGATAAAAATTTGTTCTAATTCGGGGTACCTGGGGCTAGTGGTTTTTTTAAACATTTGTCATTGAGAATATTTACCGATTAGCGTTATGAATGTAAAATTAAATAAATGTATTAACAGTAAAGTCTATTTTGCGGTAGCTAAGACATATTAATTCACATATCAACAAAATAGTTTCTTCACTGACTTATGACTTAACGGATTTTATTAAACAAAGAGGAATCCGGTAGTTGAAAATATTTTAAAATAATTAGGTAATATATCCTTGATTTTAGTATTTATTTTTAATCAAACTTTAAATTTCATTTTGAATAACATTTAGGTAAGATGCATAAACGCGGCAATTTGATTTATGACGTCATTGCTTAAAATGCTAGATTTTATCTTAGTTAAATCCTACATGTTTGATTGAAGTGACTTTTTGGAAATGAATCTACGAGCCAATGGGTACGTTTCATCTGTTTTCTCTAAACCGCGTCCTTGATACGACAAAAATATTAATTGCCGGTGTCGGCACTGACACTTATGAGCTAACATACTCATGTATAATAAATTACTAACATGTAACTGAAACTCATAAATATAATCACGTTCATAGAATACAAAATAATAATTATTTTACTTCATCATCATCATTATTTTACTTATTTAATCTTAATTGCCTAGAAAAATTGACAAATGACGGACTTGATCCCGAAGAGGCATACTCTACCAGTAAAACAATAAACTTGGTACAGAACTAAGTTATCACTGAAATGAACTGGTGTTGGTACTGATACCTAAGACTATATTATAAAGAGGTAAAGTTTCTAACATTGTTTGATTGTAGGTGGTAATTTTCGGAATGAAAACTTTATCTATGAAATTGCCGTTTTGCCGTACTGGCCATTTCAAATCAAAATATTATTTTTGGTTGATAATTCTAATTTCATATTAATTTTATTCTAAAACATGGAATTGTTTTTTCTAAAATCGTAATTTGTTTAATAGTTAGTGATTTATTTCAACGACATGTTAATATCATTGACGCATTCGAACATTTTTCGTCGTCATGGATAAGTTTATTATGGAGTATCAGTACCCTTGTGCAAGAAAGCGACACAAGCGCCACGCAACATCAATCAACGACGTTTTACGGAGCGAACACTACAAAAAAAACGCACCACCCGTTATTGGATTGCATCAAATTGGCAAGGTAAAAATGCTTGACAAATGGGTATCCCATGAACTCAATGATCGCCAGCGCGAAATACGCGTCGAAACGTGCCTTACACTGCTCTATTTTTCTGTCATCATCATCTATTTTTTCCAGGATTTGGATAACTCCTCGGCGGGAAAAAATTATAATGCCCGAGAAGCAGCATAAAATGCCTATGTAAAATTTGTTGCCTCCCGTCCAGCTGATTTCTTCAATACATTTATTTCATAAAAAACGGCAATTTCATAGGTTGTATATCAATTGTATATCACCACGGGCAACATAGACTAAAAATTACGCGGGTGAAGTAGCATAATTAATTAAATATTAAACAAAACAAGTAGCTAAAGCTTCCGTATTACGAAATATCTAAGACAATGAAGGTAACACAACACCCAGACTCTAGACGATATAGAAAAGTCCAATTTCTACATTGACCCGTCCGGGAATCGAACCCAGTACCTGAGAGATCTTGAAACCGGCATGCAAACCACTCTACTACGGAGGTCGTCAAGCGACAGTAGCAGAGCAAGAGCTGTGTCTGAACGAAGCTTAATGATCGCTAACTGTCGACCGTTGATGGTCAGTTTAGTTTGAATGCAACCAATTGTTAAGGTCAAATTTTGTTATTATATAGGTAAATGTGCCTTCCCTTAATGACCTGTCAAAAAAATCCACCTGTACAAGCAATTTGCAAGCCTTTACGTTCATTGTAAAATATTTTCACTGTAGTAATTAGCTTAATAACATACCTATGAAGTTGATAACAGCCAGGCTCACCCCAACGTGATTTTCGTACATTATGATATTTTATGCCTTCATGAGGATCTTTCAAAACTTTAGGCATTATGTAAAAATTGTGAAATTAGAAAATATAACAGTAAAAATTGGTCTACCTAAAGATAAAACGACGTAAAGCAATGGTAGCTTCAAGGTAGCTTAGCGACGGTCGGTAACATAATATACTCTTTGGTCGTTAATAAAGAAGTGTCTTGTTCCTAGTTCACTATCTATCTTATTAAGTGTATGTACTACCCTTAAAAATTAGAAGAATTAATAAAAGTGTATATGCTTAAGGACAAATTTTTTTTTAAACCAAGCTTCTATTTATACAAGCGCTAATAAAATCGGAGACAAGGAAATATACATATTTTTTACGCGCTACAAGCTTTTCATGTCAATTACTGTTAGATTTTAACATTTACGTTATGAACTCAAATAAAAGTTTGCTTTTGATTTTTTTTATTTTTTATCTTCGTCTTATTCTATTCATATCTGACATAGCTAGGGTTGCCATCTTTTTTTCCCCAATTAAAGTACATTAGTTATTATAGGTACAAAAACAAAGTAAATTGAATCAAAATAAAGTATTATTTATTTTTCTTTATTACTAAACTTAAAAATACATTTTCTTTTTATTTATCTATTCAGCATGAATCGATAAATTTTGTTTAACGAAAAAATACTTACGACTAAGCTTCAAAATCACAAACAAATCAAACCATACGACATAAAGTATTTTCGTGTACTTTATTTTTCTTATAGAGTATAGAGTACAATTGTCTGAAATAACGTACAATACTTTATTATAAAGTACGGGTAGTAACCCTAGACATAGCATCTGTATTGCAAGGTGTTTTTTATGTTAATTTTATAAATATTGTTGTTCTAATAAAGATGAATCTAAAGAGCCCGAACATAATACAGTTGCGTTATTTCATTGTTAAGTTTTTATGACCACTTTCCAGCTCCATCTTCACCAGAACTTGGCTTGTCCTCATAAAGGCGCTCCTGCGAGTCTAAACACGATGCAGTTGCGTCATTTCATAACTAAGTTCTTATGACCACCTCCCGACTTCATCATGATATCGGCTTACATCCTAATATTGTTTTCTCATCTGACTTACATTTCAAATCTATCGGACATTGGGACGCGGGTCAAAGTTGAGACCCAAGGTTTGCGCACTTACTAACAAGGCAACGTAAATAAAAATGTGTAATCAACTTGTAATAATAAAAAGGACGAAATAAATTTTATACAGGACGGCCCAAAAAAGTACACTTCTTTTTATTTAGGGCTAATGTATGTTGGTAAATATGTTATATGTGAATTTCTTTATGCCACCATTAATTTGAAATACTTAACGGTTATGAATGTATACGGTATCATTACACACATTACATCATCCCGAGTGACACTGGTTATATATTTTTAACTGATGCGGTGAAAGTAACGCATGCAGCTTTAATTGCCTAGAGAATCAAATATAAAGAGCCCCGGTTGGAAAAAGTTGTAGGTCCGAGTCTTATGCCGCCCCGGGCCCCCGCCACTGAAATTTTCTGAGACACGTATGAATCAATCAACATTGTTTTCTATTTGTATATAAAAATGGAAATGATATAATGAAATATAATATATGTGAATAGATTTTCTACGCTAAATGACGTGAATTAACACATGAGAGCATCATAGCGGCGGTCCTCCAATTAGGGATGCCCAATATTTATATCGATCTTTTTAATTGTATTGGATCGTAACCTCATGAATCTATTCGGGATCTGAATCGTATTGCTATGGATCTATCTTGGAAAACCGTATCATATTTTAGTAATAAAAATGCAAAGAATGATGCATGCGAAATTGTTTATTGTCACATTTTTGGTTTTATAGAGCCTAATAAAGTTGTTACAAGCACTTGTGAAAGTTGAAACTTTATGTCATCGGATAGCAAATATACGGCAGGAGACCTTGCACTGAGAAAAACATGTGAGAAACTCGGCAAGGGCTGTTTTTTTTACCTATTTTATTTCAGACAAAGCCGTCACAAGTGATTTCATTGAAATATGAAATCAGTTTCCATTACAATATTAGAAAATATAAAAAATGTTAAACAGTATACCTATATACTCGTCAAATGAATCACATGCCAAGTCAAAACAAGCTCACCGATAAACAATTTAATATAGATGTCGCATCATCTTTACGAAGATCGTTTGATTTAGTTTCTTTTATTTTAATTGCTAGTTACTCGATTACTTAATTACTTGATTGTAGAGAGAGCGTGATCATCGATATTTTTAATTTTATTAGAATGGTGACACTGACTTTGACAGTTCATTAACAGAAAGCAAGTAGCCGCCATTTTTGGCACACATTCTGTTTCCGATCGCCGAGCAGTAAAGACATCCGACAACATCACGCTCATCTCGTTATATTTTCGTATGAAAGTGATAAAATGGAACAAATCCACGTTGGTATACACGCCTGCAGTGTTATTTTAAAGATAGTCCTCCGATATAGACGATCTATTTGGGCTTCGTAATAGCCCCTTCTGACTACCCGCCGACATACATGAGTATAATAAAATAAAATTGACAAGAATAAGTTGTCTACAGCAGACTCATCTCCACTAGCAGCACCCAATCACGAGCATGACGCACGGACCTTCTAACTTTGATAAAAGTACTAGATCTAGCCTATTACGGCAATATAAAAATATATAATATAAACAAAGTATTGATATTTTACTATTAAGTTTCATTTCGTTTTTCATACTTGGCGTAGGTTACACGAAACTAATAACAACCAATAGTTGGAGGTAGGCGTGATCTTACTTTCCTTTTTATACACTGTATCCTTCGAATTTGTAATTTTTTTGTGTTTTATGATCCGATCTTCCAGATATACAATATGATTTGAGTTTGAATAGTATTCTGCTGAATAAATTAAAAAAATCGGTATATCGTATTATTTGAATAAATTTGTTAAAAAATGGTTTCAGATCGGGCATCCCTACGTCCAATCAGACGATCAGTCGAGCGCTGATCAGTTTTCTTTTTTCAGTACTTTTCTTCCGGGCTTTTAAATATTATGTAAATAAAATGATGCGTAGTTTTTTATAGGTTTTGTGATAGATAAAACGATACGCTTATTTAAAACTGGAAAAGATAGAACCACAAGAATCTCTCAGTCGGAAATAGGTACTTTACTAGTACACTTTTAAGTCGAACGTTTGGTTTGAAAACAATTTCTGTTTCTGTTTGTTCTGAAATCAAAAGCAATGACGCTAGAAGAAAAAGTCGTTTATCCTTGGATGGCACCTTTATTGGTAAGTAGATTCAAAAGTTCTCATTCACGTAAGTTATGATTTTAATAACCTCAATTTATTACATACAATTAAAGTTTTCATAAGATACCAAACGAAACTTAAAATTGAGTGTCCGGATCACTTCAAAGTACAAAGACAGACACAGATGGACCCTATCTAATTACATGGTGGTGCAGGATAAAATAAACAGTAAAAACTTAATTCTATGGTTCCTAACCTAGGGGTTAATCAGCTATTCTGTGAGAATGACAAACACCTTAATAATGGAGATCAAATTTAATATAAGTATAATAAAACCATAATGTATTTGTTGGCATGACAAACAAATAATGTCTATTCTCATGCTAATAATTTTCACCAAAATTAATCATGATTTCCTACAGTATTTGCAAAAAGTCAATAAATCTCTGAGAAATAGGTACTATTTTAAATGTCTTTAATGTTAGTCACTATGATTTAATTTTAAAATAAATTATACAAATATCTTAAATATAAAAAACATAAAAAAATCACTTAAAAAAATCTGAGAAGCATGTACAAGTTAAAGAGAGCACTGTGGGAAATCATGGGAAAAACAGAATTATCACTTACTGTAGATTGATCTCTTTTTTTTTTTAATTACATTACAGTGTTAAACATAGTTACACATTTTTAATTTTTTACAGCATTTGTAAACCACAAAGGTTTGTGCCAATGCTGAATATATATCTCTACTAATTTATTAGGTTTACAACAATGGTACACACCTTCATTTTACACTAAACACAGATATGGTGTGCCTCCATTTCTCAATTCTGTTTCATGCTAAGTTGTTTAAAAAGTATGTTTTAATATTTGCTAATGTAATTTTTTTTCTTAATTCTGTGGGTAATTCGTTTATAAACCAGGGTACCAGGTACACTGCAGTGTGTTCACCAATGTATTATTTGCACGAGCAGTACACAGCTGGCGCTCAGCAACTGCTCTTGTATCCTATCTGATAATCTGTATCCTATTATCAAAATAGTGTTGCGTTAGAAAAATGTATTTGTATTGTGACATTACAGGTAGAATGAGGCAATGCTTAAATAGATCAATTTCCTCATTTCTATATTCTTTTTTAATGTTATCCGAGACTATATTTTTAGTATTCTAGTTTGGAGTTTATATATTTCATTCAAGTAAGATTTATAGGTGCAACCATAACTACTAATACCGTATTGAACATAGGACTCGGCCAGTGCATGGTATAACAGTAGTTTCATTTTGAATATTTGCCAAAAACTGTCTAATAACATAGCTTATTACAGACGTGTTCATGTGTTTGCTCCAGTTAAATTTACTATCTATGAGTAATTCAAGATACTTTATCAAGCTGACTTCTATTGTGGAGCAGTGACGTATTGCTGGGATTTTGTAGGCAGTTATGATTATGGGCTACTATTTTTTTTGTAGGAAGACGTTTTAGGTGGGGAGATTGAATAACTAATAATTTAGTTTTATCACAATTTAATACTAGGCCAGGGTCGTGGCACCACCAAGTTAACAAGTCATAATCGAATTATAAAAACCCACAAGCTACTTGCGTGTCTTTTCCCGCGACGACAAAACATGTATCATCAGCAAATTGATAACAAGAAGAATGATCTAGAATATTACTCAATTCATTGACACAAGTCAAAAAGTGTACCGGGCCCAATATGGAACCTTGGGCTGTACCAATTTTCTGTTCAACCAGTTCGCTTAATGAGTCTTCAATCTTGACTCTGAATTTGCGTTTTTTAAGATAGTTGTCGCACCATTTCTTACATTTATATCTTCTAAGGTAAGGCAATTTTGTACAAAATAATGGTCAAAGGTTGTTCTTTTCAGGCAGGTGGTTTAGCTGGTCTAAGTGTAGACGTTACTTTGTATCCATTGGATACATTGAAGACTCGTCTGCAGAGTCAACAGGGTTTCCACAATGCTGGTGGATTTAAAGGAGTTTACAGAGGTAAGTGTTTATAAAAATAATTTTAAGATGTATTTTACTAGACATCTTATAATTTTACCTGTCAACAGGACACAATAGCTAGATGGTACAGTGGTTAGCATGGTCGGTCTTCAATTGCAAAATAAAGTAAGCATCTTTTGGAACAGCTGATAATTTAATGCTGGTCCTTAGCCAGTGATCGGCTGACAATTAATCGTCCCTGGCAGCATTCCAAGTGGTCCATGGTAGTCTTGGTCTTGGGTCATAGTTCGCAACTAAGCTGGAATGACTTAGTTTGTGTCTCCTAAAGGAACTAGTTCCTCTTGTAGCTTGTTGCAAAGAGCTACTAGATTGATGAATACTAATTTTCATCAAAATTTTGGACACAAAAAATAAAATAATTATAGATAAGAACTAATATTCTTAAAAATATATTTTTTTATGTAAATAAGCAGGTTTATTGTTTAGGCGGTAAATAACACACTTTATATTGTTCGCCTTTATATTTTTAACGAGACAACATTAGTTCGGTTGACTTCAGCTTCACTCATTCTGTCACGAAATAATGAACTGCAGAATGGAAAACGTGGGAACTAGTACACATTGTTTTCTGTGGAAGCCAGTTCTTTGAACTAGTTTGTTTGTGAGCTACACAAGACAAGTCTGATGACGATTACGATTTCTCTTTTATTTTGAATAACAGTCCGTCTTTTCACGAGACATGTGTTTTCAGGATTGACGACAGTGGCCTGTACATCGGTGCCTACGTCAGCATTATTCTTCATGTCCTATGAGGCTACCAAACGAACGATGCAGCCGTACGTAGCCACTCAGTATGCTCCATTCGTTCATATGTTCGCTGCTAGCGTTGGTGAAGTGGTATGTTAGTTGTTTCTGGTGCTGTTTGTCATTGTACACTAATAATGAGTACCATTCTGCAACTCCCATTCCACCACCATCATGAGTAATTTATATAATTTGCGATTAAATTTATGTGGATTTGTATTTGTATGTAATTTAAGACAGTATTTGTATGTAATGTGAAGTTAATTTGTATTCATCATAGTGAACAAATTGTCATAACATGTATGTGTTCATTATTTGTTCTAACTTCAAACTTGAAAGTTTGGTGTGCTGTGTTTATCTCCTTGAAATATTAAAATAAATTGGTGCAGAACAGTGGCATAACTATACCGTTTGAAGCCCGTGGCAAATTCATCGGATATTACATTTTTTTTTTTACTAATTGCGTAATAATAAATATCTGGAGTAAGGAGTCTCTGACCGGGGTCCCTTCCACCTGGGGGCCCGGGCATTTTGCGGACTTGCCACCCTGTAGTTACGCCATTGGTACAGAATATCCTTATAATGATGTATGTATTAGGTTTCTTTGAAAATGTAGTGCTTAGTATTCTGAAAACTAAAAGTACCCTTGAGCCTATCAATATTATGAGTTGCTTATATTGGTTAATAGTTATAAGATTAGGGCGGTAGTCAAAATAGTATTTTGAAAAATTAGCTTAGCTAATGCACTCTAATATAACCTTCTATGCAAAAGATGCTCTAGCACTTAATTTACTGTTGATAGTAAATAAGACATAGATGGTACAGTGATTTAACACATATCTAAGACTGCAAAAATGTAGGGCACTGTCTTTAGTATAATGTGGTTTGCGGTTTCAGCTATATCTAAACGACGTTCGTTTGCACAGTGTGGTCTCACCCTAATGTGTATAATAAGGATGAACGATTTTTCTACAGTTGGCATGCGTTATCCGTGTTCCTACAGAGATAGCGAAACAGCGGAAGCAAACCTCTGTCGGCAACAAGAATAGAAGTAGCATTAGGATATTAGTTCAGGTATGTAATATTTAATATTAAATACACAAGCATCACACATATTTTCTAAATTTAAATTCAATATTACATACTCAGACTAGAAAAATTCAGGGAAAGTCGAAAGCTATGCGATTGGTTCGCAAACGGTGGGTTTCTTTTCATTATAGTATTAATTATCACAAAGCAGATAATTTTTATTTTAATCGATTAATATGCAGTGTCATTCTTATTGATAATTTCATGTACAGTATACATAATAAAAGAACATAGATTAAACTTAAGTAGTCTTGAGTCACTAAACTCATTCTCACTGGCAGCACAATGCACGACCATATTTTTGAAAGATTTGATAGATAGTCATAATGTGGAGGATATGAATACATGGTCGTTTTGGCGCCAAAGTGTGCTGTTACCGTGCATAGTCCGCCATAGAAATGGAGATCGATGGATTTTAGTGCTTCTGCATTTTTGATTAGCCTCCTTCTGGACGCGGGTACCCAGGAGAGAGCTCCACATAACGCCGTAGACTGCAGGGGACGCGAGATATGTAATGCATTTCCCATCGTAAAAAATGGTAGTTCTGGCGCAGCATTCTTAATAACAATTTAAAAATAATAAATCTTTTGTTTTGTAGAATTAATAGATATCCCATATCAGAGTACCAGGGAATAAGTGTTTTTTTTTTGCATTTTTCATTAAGAATATTAAAAAATAACAATTAATCTTGTATAATATGCGGAAAAAAGAATTTTTTATGTGACATTATAATATTTTTGATTGAAAATAAACCTTGTAGTAGTGATAGTAATATTTCGTAATGTAACTTGGTAGCGGTCAGGTTGTTTACATAATTCATCTCATGTCGTTGGCCTTTACTTAGTTAAGAAATAATAGACCCTAAAGTCAAGTGAATAAGTTTGTTTTTTTTGTAATCTGTTTGGTAGGCTTACGAGGCTGAGGGGTTGAGACGTGGTGTTTATCGTGGCTTCATGTCCACTGTGGCCAGAGATTTGCCGTTCAGCTTCATCGAGCTGCCCGTGTGGGAGATGCTGAAGACGGTAGTGAGACACCACAACGACGGTCAAGTAACTAATCTACATGTGAGGACTTTTTAAGTAATTTCACCTTATTAAATTCTATATTACCACATGGTCTTGAGACTTTACTGGTGTAAATTATAGTTTATATCAGCCATGTATGATATAGCTTCCCGTAGGTATTCTTAAAATCTTTCCACTAATTTTAGAGAATATTCATATATAATATTTTATTTTGTCAAAAAATAGGACTTACTCCAAACTTTAAAAAGTGAGAAATAATACTTATCTTAAAAATGACTTCATCATTTAAGAAACTGCTGTTGAAGCCGGGTGGTCATCATTTAATAATCTACAGAATATCTCCGCACAACTTCAATACCAGTTTCTTTAATAATGAAATCACTTCTAAGATAAGTATTAGGTATTTTTCACTTTTTAAAATGTGAGGATTTTTAAACGTGAGGAGGTGCCATATAAAAAAAAATATATGATTTTTAATGTATCGAATTTTCTGTTGAACATAGAAATTCCTACTTGAATTAATGCAAAAAACGCTTTTATGTATATTCGAATTGAGAAGCCTACTTTTTTAAGTCGGTTAAATTTGAATTTAAAAAATAATTTTATTGGTAACAGAGCGCGATTTGCGGGTCGATAGCGGGCGGTTTCGCCGGCGTAGTGACTACGCCCCTGGATTTAGCCAAGACGAGGATAATGCTCGCAGAGAATTACGCGGTCACCAGGAAACTGAAAATCAAGCCGGTTCTCACTAATATATATTGCGAGTCGGGATTCCGCGGCCTGTTTGCTGGTAAGATTATTTAACTAAAAGTACTACTCGTACGAATTAATATGAAATCTGTAATGCATTTGGGGCGCTGATATGCTGATGACGATGACATAAAGTATATTATCTTTGACTTTATTGCAGGTGCCACACCAAGATTGACGGCGTTCATGCTCGGTGGTTTTGTATTCTTCGGTGTGTATGACGATGCGAAGAATTTCATCGAGGGATTAAAGAGATAGCTGTACTTATTTCTATATATTGTCTTTATGTACAGTTGTAAGTTTTTTGCGTAGAAAAGACAAAGTTCCTAATTTTTTGTCGATTTTAAGTCTTAATATGGAGGCAGCTGTTCATTGTTATCTTATAGTAAAAATTATCACCCTTTTGAGTCCCATCTTGGGCATTTGAGACTGACGTGTTATATTTTTGAATATTAATTTATCTATTATGATAAATATGTATTGTATTGTGAATACATATGTGAAAATATGTGAAAAAGTAAAATTGATAATTATTATATATAAATATTGCTTATATATAATAATTATCAATTTTATTTAAATGATTTAGTGCGGCAACACATTTATGTATCGCGTTTTGTCATTTTTGCTGTGTGCGTGTTATTTCATGTATCTGAATGAAACAGATATATTTCTGTCGCGACATGCAAATGTGTTTCTGCTATGACGAAATTTGGTTATTTTGTTGAAGTTAATTTTATGTTGAAATACAAAGAATCTAGTAATTTAGAAGCAATCACTTTAATCCAAAGAATACCAAATTGGTACTTTGTAATAGGTTGGGGAAAACGTTTCTTTGCATTTTATATGAAAGTTCAAAACATTTTAATAAAGTTTATTTAGATTTAACTAAAGTATGTAGGTACTATTTTGTTCGATGCTTTTTGCCATATTGTAAGGATATGATCTCATTGCCATAAAAATTTTGGGGCTTCTGATCAAAAAACCGCAACAAGTGGTTTTTTGATAAGGCCCCAAATTTTTTAAGAAAAAAATTAAAAGGCTAAAGAATTCTGAAGAAACCGAAGCAGATGGAACTCTGAAGATGCATTGATACCTCCCAGTCAAACTCTTAATTTTTGATGAGTGGAATATGATCTGATACCTTTGATTACGACCTTTTTTGCGCGTTCTTGTCCATTTTTCATCACTAGTTATCAGCTTCTTCAAAAATGGTTTGGTTCCATTACGCCGTGATAAAGAATCATAAATGGGTACACGGTTCATTAGGTTTCTTTCATTGAGCTCATCAGGTATCCAAATATGCAACTTTTTGTGTACCCTGCTTTTTCCAATGCTTCAAAACTGTCTTGTGATCAAACGTCAACCAAAAAAACATGCAAAATAATATTCGAGTGAGTTTGTCTCGAGTGGATTGCCTAGTGTTTGGGAGGTTGTGATGCTATCAATGTTTGTATTGTTGGTTAATCACGTAATTAATAACTTCTGTGGTTTATCTTTAATCAAACTTTTCTGTTTCGATAAGGGGAGAAGCAAACTATCCTGCTACTCGAGATTTCTATACCCTTGAGGCAATACATATCCTCCTGAGACCTAATACTAAACTATATAACCCACAATTAAGATTGCTACTTTTTATAGCTAGGTACTAATTATTATTAATAAAACACACAAGAAAAATTTTGGACTAGAACGAGGACTTTGCTGTGGGGTATTGCGTGTCACACGTGCAGATTGTGGGTATAAAAAATTAAGGATTGCTACTAGGGAGCAATGAAACGACCCGCTGCGGTTGGTTTGTCAGAGACACTAATTTATTTCTTTTAAAAACATAATAACATATGTATAAAAATAAAATAATTAAAAAAGGTCAAATACATTTTATCAAAAAGTTCGCTACATCATTCTTGGTTGGCCTATTACTTTGCCAAAAATCCAAGTGCCTCGTGGTGCCTGATAATAGACAACTAAAACCACGTCACCGATCTCCAGGTTCTGATGTCCTCTCTGCTGTGGTCGCCGTAAGCGAAGACGTGGTAGGTATTCACGCAGCCACCTTCTCTAAAAATGTTCGGATGTTCGGAGAGACGCAAGGCCTTCTGCCATTCCTTTCTCAAGGAAAACACACCATCATCGAGAGGATAGGGTAATTGATTGTTAAAAGACGATCCGATAAAGTGGAACGGTGTCAAAGACTACCGTGTCGTTCTGTGTTACATAAGTTAACGGGCGGGAGTTGGCTAATGCTTCGGCTTCTAGTAACAAGGTCGATAGAGTTTCTTCTTTCGGCGCTCTGTATTTTAGCGTCGTCTTAAGAGCTGTTTTAATGGCACGATGGTCTCGGGCTGTGCGAAAGTCTTTCGTAGCATTTCCATGACGTAGTCGGGGCTCTCCGTAGTATAAAGCAAGGACGACACACATTCGAGAGCAGGGCCGCGTAGAGCACATCGTAAACGTGTAAGGTTTTCTGTGGGAGAAAATAAATGTTTAGTGTCTTCATATGTAAACATAAGCTATTCGACAGGTTTCCCAGAAAACAACATTAAGTCAAAGTATTTGGTCGCGCATTTATGTGAAATAAGCCTATCGTAACATGATTTAAACTCTTTAGATGAGTTGTGATAAAATTTGTTTGAATTTCTCGATGGCATGGGTGACATGACATTATTTGACAACCCGTTTGAAAATGAAACATTACGCGTATTTTTTGATGCATGATGATGAGATGGGACAGGTTCATTGTCACAAGGCGGTATGATTTCTTCGTTCGCTAGTTGACTATGAGGGCGACGAAGATTTAGATCAATACTGGCGTTTTTGATCCATGACCTCGTATGGCCATCTGCGGATCGAGAAGATGTATGAGATACATCATCCGCAGCTAAAGTAGCTCGTAACTCTAGGTCCTCCACTAACTTACGCTTCCACTCCAATTCCATCTCACGTTCTAGCTGCTGTCGAGCGAGCAGTGCCTCCGCTGCCAACTTACGTGCTCTTACTGATCGAGCCCACCCACAACCGGCAAATTTGCTACTTCGCATGAATCCCGTGGCATCTCTGCCAAAAGCGCAGCTTGCAAAACTATAGCACAGTTAGGTAAAAAATAATAATAAAACAACTGCATATATTTTTAATTTTTATTTCAGTAATGAGTATATCCTCTTCTATTTTTCAGAACTTCAACCAGTCTCTTCGGCAGCGTTTCGTATAAGTTTTTAACGAAATCTTGATCTAACTTTCTCCACTCAATTCAACTTTAACAATTTAAGTATATAGCACGTACTTTTTTTTTTTTTTTTTTTTTTTTTTTTTTTTTTTTTTTTTTAACCAGGGGAAATGCCCGCGCATACCACCCTGTTACGGGGAAACAGAGTGGTTATGTGGGACTCGAACCCACTAAAACCACCTGGGTGTTCCTCAGCCGTTCTGCAGCGCTTCTCGGCATCGTCCCTGAGGACCCTATCCGAGGTACGCCGCCGGTCGTCCAGACGGACCCTTCTTTTATAGAGCTTAGCTCTTAACACCCATACGTGGGAACGCGACGGAACACAATCGCGTCCTCTCACATCAAGAACCGTGTCAGTGGGCGACAGAAATTCCCCGTTTCCGCCACCCGGTTCTCACCGCAAGGAAGGGACTAGGCCATCTGCCCTCTCCCATTCTCCCCGCAGTCATCGTGCTGCCGTCCAGTACCGGCAGTCTCCATGGCTTCTGCCTCTGTCTCCCGAACGAACGGAAGTCTCAGCTGGCCCGGAGGTCTTCCTGCGCTTTGGCCTTTGGGGGGGCTTGCATGACTTGCCCCCCAGCACATGGTTTGACGCTGTTCCAGCCGCAGCACACACCATGCAGTGTGGAGCAGCGGTACACTCTTTGGCCTTATGGTTAGGGCCACCGCATCGGAGACATAAGGCACTCCGGTCGACTCGGTCGCACTTCGCAACAACATGGCCCACCTCATGGCATTTGTAGCAACGCAAAGGCTTCGACGGCAAGATGTGAATAGCCGCCGAAACCCAGCCCACCAACAGGCGCTTCCTGCCCTCCTCAGTCAGTTTTTTGGCGGCAGCAATTGGACACCTTACTACTGCGGTGCCCATGCCGCGTCTACTCTGACGGATCTCACTGACTACCACCGTGTCAGGTTGGCATCCTCCTTGTTTGGAGACGGCATCTCGTATGTCTGCCGCCTCCACCGCATCATCCAATCCAGATATGCGGAATGCGGCCGTTTTCATTGGCCGCAATACCTCCACTACCTCTGGATCCACTAGCTCTTTTATGCGCTCAAGCAGCTTCTCCGTCCGCTCTTCAATATCTTCGCCCGCGACCTCAATGAGGCGAGCGCCAGTTGCCGCTGACCTGTATTGGAAGCCGCCTCGAGTAATAGCCGGGTCAATTTTCCCCTTACAGCCAGTTAGTACCTCCGAGTAGCTCACGCCTCGCTCTATTGCCTCGGGTCGTAGTTTGAGTACCACAGCACCCGATTTAGGCGGGCGGAGCCTGACCTTCTTTTTAGGCTTATGTGCCGATTCCTTCATTAAGGGCCCCTTTGATGGTTGAGGGTTACCCTTCGGCGCAGTTTTGGTCTTTCTTCCCCGCTTGGTAACTGTCACCCAGTCCTCCTCAGCAGAGGGGTTGGGAGGAGCGGGTTGCGTCGTTTGTTGAGCGTTGGCCCTCGCCTTTCTCGCCTCCTTCTTTTTCGACTTACGCCCCTTAGATGTTATAGGGGCATCAGTCGACGGCCCCGCAATAGGCTCCGTTGAGCTCCCTGCTTGTGCTCTCCTTTTATCTGCCTCGAGAGGCGGTCTCAATCGCTCCTCCGGAGGCAGTCGGCGGGCAAGCCCTTCAATACGGGCGCTCACCATCGTGCCTGCCTGGTCTATTATAAGCCGCCGGAGCTCTTCCACAGACATGTCACCCACGGTGGTCGGGCGACGCTCCCGACCGGCAGACCCCGAGGGAACATTCTTAGTCCGTTTGAGCTCCTCACGGACAAGCTCAAGCTCTCGCCGCAGACCTCCCAAGTCCTCACGCAGTTTGATGTTTTCTGCGGAGATCCGAGTGATTTCGGCATTGGCGCGTTTGAGCTCCGTCGCTGTTGTTTGGAAGCGATTTTCCAACAGCTTCGCGTCCTCGCTTGTATTGCGTTCGTAAAGCCCTCCCAACATTTTGGTAATTAAAGCCGCTGCGTCCTTAAGGGCTTTGATAGCAGTCCCTTTCAGGTTGCCCGACTTCGCAGCGACTTCAAGAATAACTGCGACACCATCCATGCCCCGCTGGAGCACCTCGCATGTCGCCATCCTGTCCACATCCTCCTCCGGTGGATCATCAAGGCTATCTCTCGGTCTTGGAGGTGGTCTCGCTTTTGTTGCGATTTCCACAGTCTCGTCTTCTGTATCAAGCATCTGTTGACGCTCTCTGGCCGCTTTTGCCTCAGCTCGTAATTTGCCCACTCCAACATACTGACCAGTGGTTGGGGGGCGGCCTCTACCACGTCTTTCTCCAGCTAACACCTTTGCCGGAGTCGTGGTGGTCTCACCAGAGTCATCTGACTCGTCCGAAACTATTTGCTCCGAAGAGCGAGGACGTTTGCGTCCAGTCCCGTCCGATATACAGGAGTCTACAGTCATCTGGGATGAACAGGATGAACTGCGACTCCTGATTGATTTCTCCGTTCCTTCCGTGTCGCTCAGTGTCGTGGACACTGGTAGCGGTGTCCGTGTAAGACGGACAACTGGCTCCCGTGATGTTGATGGGGCCGGCTGCTTGAAAGCAGACTCCTCCGACTTCTCGTGTTTTTCCGCTGACTGCAGAGCAGTCTTTGGCGGCTCCTTCGACTTCTTGGACTTCTCGTCCGCATCACCTAGACGTCCGAACATATTTTTAAAATTTAAAGACTCCATAACTAAACCCACGAGTATGGGAGAAAACAAAAGTCCACCCGGGCAGAGATCCCAGTACCCGGGTAACCCTATTACACCTCGGAGGTCGGGCGGTATCCGAGGGTTGGCGCTAGCTGGCTGACATAACCCGTCAGCCACCCGAAGGCGCCCCGACGTCACGTGTCCCAACGCCGGGACTTTAGGGATTTTTTAGAGAGGTTATCTCCTCGCAGGGACACCCAATAAAGGGCAGCCCCCCCGGCCCCACTCCGCGTGGGGTTACGGGTCGGCCGGTGGTTGCCGAAGCACCCGTTGGTCATGACTACCATGACCCAACGAGCCCACCGCCCTCGCTGGCACCGCCGCTACCCAGAATAATTCCAGGACGCCGGTCCAGCCCGAACCGCGCAGCCGCTACCTGGCATATGGCCAGGACGCCTGCCCGGAGCCCACACTCGCGAGGCTTCTCGCGTGGCGGAGACAGAACTCCGCCGCCCACACGTCGTCTGACATCAGCCGTGGCGGCTCAAAGATGCTTTGAGCGGCCACGTTGCCCGGGGTGCACCGCGAGGAGGTTGTCAGACATCGCACCCCCACGTACTAGTCTACCCCAACTAAATTTAACCCAAACCAAACCCAAACCCCAAAATTATATTTTGGCCGCCAATTTGTATTCCATATTTAGATAACTGTTCATCGATCAATTTAATGTAACTTGTACTATTTATTTTTCCAGAGATAAATTTTATTTCTGGGGTTCCTTCAAAGCCTATAGCAGCCCAACACATAACACTCCCTCCACCGAACTGTCTACGACTTAAAATCATCTCTTCTTTTCTTAAATCATGATAGTAATACTTGTATCTGTCAGGGCCATCCAAGTTGAACTTCTTTTCGTCCGAAAATATTACATGATGCCACTTTTTTTTCCATGATATATGTTCTTCGGCAAATTGTAAGCGTTCTTTTTATGTTTTTCAGTTAAAGGTGGTTTCTGTAACACTTTCTTTTTTTTTCAAATGCCTAGCATCGTGTAGGAGACGTTAAACATTCCTTACATTTGTTTTCACGCCAGCTGCAGAAGCGATTTGGTTCGCTGTTAAAGTAGAATTTGAAGCCACTCGTAAAATTGCTCGTCTATCTTTATCATTTATGGCCTTGGGCCGGCCTCCTGGATTTTTTTCATATAGTTTTCAGGATCTTTTAAATAATTTACAATGACCTTTCTAGATCTATTCAGTGTATTTGCTATTTGTGACACATTAAAATTGTTGTTTTTTAGATTATTGATAATATTAATTTCAACTGTACTAAGTTTCTTTCCGCGAGGCATATTGCAAAAATAAACTGATATTAAAAAAACGTAATGTTTTAAAACTCGTATGGTATTCACAAAACAAAAATAACACACTGAAGGTGGGCTATATAGTAAGATCAAACGCGGTACATATAAGTAAACAATAGCTGTCTCTCTCTAATGTTTTTATGAAAACCTTGAATAAAGATATGTAATCGTAGAATGCAAAAATTAAAAGCTTATTTTGATTTGGAGTGCTAAAGTTTTGTCGTGGAGTGTATATCTTTTCTCTGCCGTTCAGATTTTGAGGCATCGTCTCGATATTGAACCCAACCTGCTGCTGCAGCAAAGTCGAAAAGTGAAATATTGTTCTAATAGTCCACTTACCGGTTCTTCCTCTCATGGGATATTTACCAATAACACGGTCCAGTAAATCAATGCCTCCCATGTAGGGGAGAGCGGGCTAAAAGTTCCGATTTTTGATTAATCTTAAATATTGTTACGAATATTTTATTTCAGTATTCATACAATGCGATGAATATCAACTTACATATCCAACTTTGTTATTAAGACAGTTAATTGGAGTATTCTTTGTAAGATTTTTTTATTATTATTATTTTGAAGACTAAAGTCGGAAAGTAACAACTTACCCCGACTTGGGGCAAGTTGTTAACGAACCGGGGTAAATTGTTACCGAATCTGTTAAATCCATTATTAGTGAAATAAAAAACAATAAATGATAGAATTAAGCTTGTTTATTTAAGCATTAATAAACAGTATCTTAAGAATCATTCTTTAAGCAATAATCAACAGTATCATAATAATCAACCGGTAAACATCTGTATGTTATAACAAGTAACTATAATTTGTAGGTACTTAAACAATTATTAATAATTAACAGCTAATCAGCCTTGATAATTAGTTCAGTCTTCAATCATCATCATATTATTCATATTATGGCCTTGTCTTAGGTTCAAAAAAACAATCACATTTCCGTCCTAGCCAGAAAATCATAATAATATACTTTATCATAATAATAATATAATAATCATCAGAAGAAATATCAGAATCACAATTCGGGCATAAATAAGTTAATAAGTCTTGATTCTGTCTACATTTGGAATGGGCCCAGTTCTTACATTCTTGACACTGAACCCATTCTTCTCCAGAACATGAATTAGTGTAACTGTCACAGCAGACTAGACAATAATACTCCAAACCGTCCACTTCACTCTCAGAACTTTCACTACTAATTTGTAAAACCTGTCGCTTAACTGACTTCCCCTTTCCCTTTTCTTTCCCTTTTTCTTTTCCCTTTCCCTTTGCACTTCCCTGATTTGTTCTACCCTTTCCTTTTCCTTTGTTTTTTCTTGTTTCTTCATTGTTAATGCTCACTTTTCTTTTCTTGCTTTGTTCTTCTGCTAAAGCTTGTTTTTCTGGAGTATCAGTCAAAACTGTGGACTTTCTAAGACATCTCTTGTTTGTTCCAATCCTTGGTGGTGCCTTCGGTAAAGGACGAACTGCTTCTGGACAGAAAGAGCCTTGATCTCCAAGTTGGTTTTCTAAGACACCAGAAGATGCAGGCAGATTTATAATTCCCGATGGCCCTGGCGCATCAAATATTTGTCTTTCATCAGTAATGTCTGCAGTTTCAGGCATATTTTCATTTGTTTCAGTAGCGGTTTCTGATACAGTTTCTGGATTATTTGGGATGGTGACATCTGAAATGCCTTAAGCCACATCTGATACGTTTATTGAAGATAAAGGCTATCTGTAACATACGATGGAGCATAGTCGTCTTCTGTAAATACATTGGGGTCATAAGGCCAAATACCAGCTTTTCTAAAAGCGCTCATTACGTTTATGGGAGTCACTGCAAGTGGTAGCGCATATTTAACAATTTCTGGGATCTCATATATTGAGACTATGTCTTACCAGGATTATTGCGTAGCCAATTATCTTGAGCCTTTGCACAATAGTTTTTGAAAGGTGCATTCACTCCAACATCCAATGGTTGTAGACGGTGTGTGCAATGAGGCGGGAATGATAGCATTGTAACGGAGTTAGATTTTGCTTTTGCCACCACATTGATATCAATATTAGATTGGTGATTATCGAGTAATAGCAAAACTGGATCTGAAGGTGATGGCTTCGTATGTTTGATAAAATGATCCATATATGTCAGGAACTCCGTAGCTGTCATCCATCCAGAACTGTTTCCTGCACCGATAGATTCCGGTGGTCCGTCTTTTAAAAACAAATCCTTGTATTTAAGTCTTGGGAAAATAAACATGGGAGGAACTGCATGACCTAATGCATTTACTGTCAGTTCGACTGTAACTAATGTCTCTCGTTCAGCAGATACTATGGCCCCAACTCGGTTTTAGCACAGTGGTAACGCCTGTTTCATCTAAATTATATATTCTTGAAGGTGGAAATTTATATTTATCCAACACTGTGCTCAGTTTTGTGAAAAATTCGCTAACATTGTGTTTGTTAAAAGATGTTGCTCGGCTGGCACTTGTTGACTCCGGTGCTCTTATTGACAGATGAGGATTTGTTTTTAAAAAACCATTCAGCTAGTCTGGTCCAGCTTTTCGATTTGCATGCCGAATATTCCGAGCGTTGAATTTCACTGCACATTCATATGCTAACTTCTTAACATCTTCTAGCAAAAGACCGAAGAAAATTGACGCACATTTCAACAAATATTCTGCTAACTTATCTTCGTGCTCTTCAGTAAAAACCAATCTTACTTTCTTATAACCAATGGCGACATTGGTGAAAATATTAATTAAAAACACTGAAATACTCGAGGCACATCGTTAAAATACGTGAGATAGACCAAAAATACCAAATATGAAAATATTTACTTACGTGAATTACTGAGGCACGTACTGCTATTCCGATGTTTCGGGTGCCACTGGTCTCTTCAAGATGGCGGCCGTCGGTGCGCTATCGCGTTCCGTTTCACGATGTATTTACTCTATATTCCTATCTCTTTTCCTTGCGAAGTTATTTCAATCGGAACAACTTACCTCGGTCACTTCTAGCCCCGCTCTCCCCTACTTATTATAATTTTTTATAGCTACAGGTTGAGGCACTTCGATATAGCTTTCATTCTGCTTGCTCCACCGTCGACAAGTTCCTAAGGGCTGGACAGCGGCATCAGTTGATGCAACATATATTGGTTTGCTATCTAGCCACTTTACAACAGCAATCTTGCTGTCACCCCTTACAACGCAATCGTAACTACCTCTTCCAGCTTTTTGTAATGCCGCATCTGTCTTGAACAATGCCTGCTTAAGTGTTTTCTTTGAATTTGGGCGCTGGTACTCTGGTACTCTATTTTTCATTAATGTCCCAGTTGCCTTGATTCCCCTTTCGATTAAGTTATCAAGAAGTGGAATAGATGTGAAGTATCGGTCAATAAAAATTGAAAAACCTGTAGGCAGCGTATCAACAAGTTTTAACAAGAAACACCCGCCAAGATCAAGCTTTTCTGGTGATGTTTAGGGTAAAGTGTTCAACAGTGTATCACTTGTTTTCCAGAGGCTGTAGCTCAGCTCTGAATTGAGTTAGAAAGACGAAAATTGAGATAGTAGGTAGGAAATGTAATCTAGTTTAATATAGGTGACTTGTTTTTATGAATAGCGTTAAAAATAATACTATGTATACACTTTTTTTAAAAGTCAAAAATGAGCCACTGTGTACACTGGGTGTTGAACAGTGGCTCGCCCTAATGTTCACAGTGGATCGGGGCAGTAACAGTGGATAATTGATTCTAAAATGAAATAAAAAACTGTAGTATCAAGTTTTTAATTAAGTATTTGAACTCTTAGGTACAATATGTAATAAAATCAGTCACAATATTAGAGATCACAATAATATCTTCTTCAACTCTTCAAATAAACATCTTCAACATTAAAAAAATAAGAACACTTTGAACTTATTTAGTTAAACTAAAAAAAACTTAAATATAAAATGCACTAGGACTCTTTAGTCATACAAACTAGGTAACTAAGTAAATATGCATCCAAAAAGAAATAAAATATTAATAAAATAATTGCAATGCAATTACAACCTACATTGCAATATTAAATGCAAATGGCTTTTTTGGTTATATCGACTAAATGTCAATTCAAAACAAATCAAATATAATCAAACAAAACAACTTCTTAAATCTCTTAATAATTAATAAGTAAAACGAAACTATAACATTTTAATGAACATTCAGGTTCGAAAAATCGATTGGGAAGCAATAATAAGATTGCTGTCTCATGGTGCTGCCTCCAAAAGTGGGTTTTGGCAATATATATTTAATATCGCGCTCTTTTGCAATCGACAAATCAGGATTATTAGGCATGGCATATTTACCATGGGCCTTCTTACGCAGATAGCTAATGTAATAGTCAAGATTATGATTTCTGCTTTCTAGCACTTTGCCAATGTAAAAAACTTTTTGCTTCTTAGTAGAAAACTCTACTAAAACAAATTCACCCTCTCGAGGCGGTCTTGGTAGAGGATCAGTGAAATCATTTTCTGTCAAACAAATTGTTTCATTTTCGATGTCATCATCTGGCCACTCGTTATCTTCATCTGATTCCTGGTATTCTACATTAATGTTTTGATCTTCTTCACTCTGATCTTCAGAGTCACTTTGTAACACCTTCTTTATCACTTTTCTTTGTTTTGGATGTACTTTTTTTTTAGATTTAGCCTTTTCTATTTCTTGTTTTTCGGGGGTATCAGTTACTATCATACTACGTCCTAATTTTCTGGATTTCCGTTCAGATTTTCTAGGCCCAGCTTTAATAGGATTCCTAAATTCAAATGGGGATATAAAATGAGGGCTCTTCCTTACTTCAGTGGTACGCATCGGCGATTCAATAGGTTTGCTTAAAGTATTAGATTGTAAAGTGGATTCCGTCAGTATTTGAGAAATATGTCTTGATGAATCTAATTGTGATCCTAATTCTAAGTCCAAATTATTTTCAGCAAAAAAGTTAATAATAATCGATGGTGAATTTTCTCTGGTAGCCGGTTCATTTGCTAAATTCAAATTATCAATAAAGTTTGAGCAAGTAGGGATTGGTGACTGATTGTGAATAGGTAACTCGGCGTCATCGGAGCAACTAGGAGCTTGGAGCATCGGAGCGTCGGCGGTGGTATCATGATCAGGTGAATTTACAATTTGATCCTCGTCATTAGGACACGGGCGATCTGTCACTGTACTTGGCATAAAGTCATCTTCAGTGAAAATGTTGCGGTCGAATGGGTAAATCCCACATTTTCTAAACGAATTAATAATATTGACTGGTGTCATTACTTTGAGGAAGGCCGTACCAACTATTTCGCCTACATCATAAATGGTTACAGGTTTTCCAGGATGTTGCATCAACC